GAATTTAATAAATTATGGAGTTATAAGTTTATGTAATTCATTCATTAATAATAAATAAAATAAATAAAAATAAAGAAGATGAATACAAAAAACATAACAAATCCTTGAATTAAGAGAAAATGAAATAAATTGTACCATAAAAAAGAAAATGTAATAAAAGAAAGAATATTTGTGCTTTTTCCTTTAATGATCTTTTACATAGTCAATGTCACAAATTAGTAAGAGTGGACACGTGTTTACTCTGAAATCTGAATTTTATTCGATTAGTTTCTTATTTTACTGATGGTGACCATTTTAAATTTTTTCGTGCTTACCCTGAAATTTGAGTTTTCTTCGATTAGTTACTCATTTTACGGAATGTGTACATCCCATTTTAAAAATATTATAATATATATATGTTTACCCTAAAAAATATTTTTGGATCCACGGTTATATTTCGTAGAAAGCTTAAATTGTAAATTACGTCTTTTTGATTTATTTTAATTCTATTACAAAACAGAGATAAAAGTCTGAATTATAGATTATGTTCTTTTTGGGGACCAAATAGATATATTCTTTTAGCTTTATCATAATTCTATTCAAAATAGATATAGAGTTATATATTTTGATCCGTCCTTTTGTTCAAACATTATAAAAAAAATTATAAAAGATTATTATAAAAAAAATTATAAAAAATATTATCTGTCCTTTTGTTCATTTAAGTGTTTATAAAAAAATTAGATAAATATTTTGATCTGTAAATATAAAATATAATTACATGTATCAAATATATTACAAAATTATTTTATCAAATAATCTTATCAATATCATTTCAGTTCATAATATAGAGTGGTATGCTTCATATTATTACATGCATCGTTTATGATCATATAGATGTGATGACAAAGCAAACATATTCATATAATTTCACTGGAAGGTAATTTATTCGACATAACCAATTTAGCATGATAAACACGTACATGTGACCTAAATGAAAATTTATGTATAAAACTAGTTAATGCATCATATATTTCATATCATAAAATATAATTTAGCAATTACCCATGGATTAAGAAGGGGACCTTTTTCCTGGGTATGTTGTTTATCTATTTTTCTTTTTATTTTTTTGTTGATTGATGACAATATCAATTTTAATATTAGTTGTTGATCGTCGAGATTTTTTATTGTCCTTTTATTTTATTTTTCACAAGTATACATGTATGACATGCTTTCTCTGTTGTCTTTTGACGTGTTATTTGGTCGTCTGAATGTTGTTTTCACTTATCTTTTTCTTAAGGATTGATTTGATATCGTCACGACTGATTGAAGATGACAATATGATGTTGCTCTTTCTAAGATTGATGAGGCTATACAGACACACCAACCATAATTGATTTATATTCTGTCAAGGTTTGTTCTGGTCATGTATCTTAAAATTTTCATAATGGCTTCATCTGCTGGGTTTTATTTTGTGTTAGCTGGACCCTCCTTTCTTCTTCTGGTATCATTTAGTTTGTCTCACATCTAATGAGACATAGCATTGCCTGAAAACTCTTCAAGATATATTTTCTTGGACTCATTACTCGTACAATTTATCACCAACAGAATCGACTTTGATTGGACATTGTGCCATGCGATAAATTTTGCTAAGTTGATATACATATTCATATAAAAGGGATACTAGTTTTTCTTTTTTGAACACAAGTCTTGATGGCCATTGGCTAGCATATGATCTCCTTCATATGTTCAGTATTTTGATACATGGCTATTGCTTGTTTTGTGAACAATTTCCCGTTAAGTGTCATTCTGGAAAATTCTTGGAATTTTCTCGAAGCTGGTTAGGTTTATATTAGTTGCTTCTTCTTTGGTGACAGAGCCGGATATTGAAACATGCTGGTAATTTCTCAGCTGTCTTCATTGGCAGATGAAGCTAGGTGTATGGATCTTGCAGATCGTTATATTAACAGTGAATGTGTCAAGCGTATGTTGCAAGCTGATCAGGTGCTAAAGCTTTTCTTCCCCATCTTTTCTCTTATTTGGTATTTGTCACTGCTGAAATTTCTTACTAATTCTTTAATCTCCCCGAATATTTTCCACTCTTGAAGGTGGCTTTGGCAGAAAAAACTGCTGTATTGTTCACAAAAGATGGGGACTAGCATAACAACCTTCATGACATGCAATGCATGTGGTACTTCCTCCCCCTTCTATATGTGTTTTTAATTGGGCATATTATCTCTGATTGTAATTTGGATACTCTCACCGAGTGTTGTGCATCTTTGGAAGGTATGAACTTGGTTCGGGTGAAAGTTACTTTCGGCAAGGTGATCTTGGACGGGCCTTGAAGAAATTTCTAGCTGTGGAGAAGCACTATGCTGATATTACAGAAACTCTTTCCTTTTGTAGGTGATCCATTGTACAGTGTGCATGTCAGTGTTTCTATTTCAGAAACTCTTTCCTTGAAATAGTTAATGTCTTGAGTTTCAAGTTTATTCTGCTTCGTGATAGCTGTTGGATTTTGAATGCAGATGTTATCTAAAGTTGTACGATTCTCCTTTAAACTCGCCAGCTGAAGAAGAGGATAACACATTAAAGACGCCCTCTCAGAAAAAGAAAATGAAGAAGCAGAGAAAGGCAGAACGAGCTAAGATAGTATATGAGTTTGTTTCCATGATTATTGGTTATCTCTTTTTAATGATTTCATCTAAATCTCTGCTTTACTTCAGGAGGCAGAGGAGAAAAATGAAGAATCAAGTGCCAGTGGCAACTCCAAGTTTGGGAAACGGCATATTAAACCTGTAGATCCAGATCCTCATGGAGAAAAGTTATTGAAGGTTACCTATTATTATCTCGTGTTATGTTTCTGATACCTGATTGAGTTCCTTTTGTGTTGTATAGACATGTTTATTTACTGCCTATTAAGCAACGGCTCTGTTTAATGTGACTTCTATAGACGGAGGATCCCTTGGCAGAGACATCTAAGTATTTGAAATTGCTTCAGAAGCACTCACCTGATTCTTTGGAGGCACACTTGCTCTCTTTTGAAACAAATATGAGAAAACAGAAGATTTTGCTTGCCTTTCAGGTATATTTATTTTCCAAGAACTGAAATGAGTCTACTTCTCTTCATTGTACTTTTATTTGTTGAAGAACAATGGTTTTACTCAGTTGTCCTTTTATTAGTTCATGATCTCATATTAATGTATGTGTTGTTTTTATTTTCTTTCTTGTGAAGGCTGTGAAGCAACTGTTAATGTTGGATGCTGAGAATCCGGATTCACATCGCTGCTTGGTATTCGACATCTGCTATTTTGCATTATCATTATTGTGCACCATTATGCACAAATACGTTTTTTTTTCCTTTTTCGTTTTGACTTGGATACAACCATCATCTAGTCATTATGCTTCTCATTTGAATTTAATGCAATGCACAGATTAAATTTTTCCATAAGGTGGACTTGATACCTGCTCCGGTGACTGATGCAGAAAAGCTTGTTAGGAGTGTTTTGGAACCTGCTAGGAAACTCGAAGCTGTTAAGTTAATTGAAGATTCATCCAATAAAGTCATGCCAACGTAATGCTTTTAGTGTATCAACTTTTGTGACCTTTTTATGTTGGTTCCATGCTATGCAACTAGCTCTAGAAATTAATTGTTTCTCTTACTTATCTTATCCAGGAATGGGGCACTTGGACCGGTAATGGAGTGGAAACTCAAGGACTGTATTGCAGTCCATAAACTCTTAGACAAGGTTCTTATTGATCAAGATGCTGCTTTGAGTAAGTAATATTTCTCCAAAAATAGGGGTTTACTAAAATTTTGACCGACTCCAACTACTGAAATTAATTGCTATGTCATTTTCTCAAGTGTTTTATAATACGGTTTCAACATTATTCAGTGCTTTTCTTATGTTTTCAAGGTTCTCTGATTATACCCTGTTGTAGACACTGCCATAAACCTCCGTAGACAGTTTGTAGTAGCTTTCTGTGCTTAGATTTGATACTTGTTGTTTCTGTTCTCATACGCTGACTCGTATTTTGCTGCATCCCTTTGCGCATTCTCATTAGAAGAGTCGTCAGACCTTGATTATATATGACATATTGTCCTACAGATAGTGGAAATTTGCAGATCTGGTGGACAGTTGTGGTATTGCTAATTTGTTCTACAACTGGTGAAAGGCAATTTGTTTAATGTAAAGAATTAACGATTTTGGTATGATAAATTTTGCTTTACACTGCAGGATGGAAAGTGAGATGTGCGGAGTACTTCCCTTACTCCACCTACTTTGAAGGTAGTCGCAGCTCTGCTGTGCACAACTCCCTGAACAATCTGGACACCAATACCACCGTGAATGGTGGTGCAAGCCATCCCGAAATCGGTGGAAGTGAAAATTCAGTCACATCAAATGGAAAGCTGGAAGCATTTAAGAACCTTACCATTTGAAAATGTTAATGCTTATGCGCGTCGTGCGACTTCAGAGCTCAATGTGTTTGTACTGATGGATTTAACTGCGTTAATTTTACACTGCAAAGAGTGCCTTTGCTGCTGCTGCTGCTGGGAAAGAGAATATTGCGTTGGCTGTCAAAAGGCAGTCCTTTGCAAATCTGTATAATTTATTTGCAGTTGTGATTTTAGGGTTGAAGATATATATATACTCCCTTTTAATTTCCTCACCCATTTGGTTTAGTAGGTCTGTGGCTCCATGGCTGTGCCCCAAAACTTGGGGGGCTGGCCATATAGAGAATTTTTGGGTAATGATTATGAAACCTTGTGGCTTAGCCTAGAAAAAAAAACAGATTTTAACTGTTTTAGAGCTAATATTGAGAGCAGCAGGTTGAATCAATGGATTTTGGATTGAGGATTACTGAATTAGGTAAAGACGGTGACTATATTTTTACTTTTAATTACCATGTTGTACTGATGAGAGCAGTCAGTTTAATTGTAAAGTAGCAGAGGCCTCAAGTGGTATCAATAGATTTAAGACAATTCATGTTTGTTTACAAGATGGTAAAGGCCATATGGCGTTGAGCAATAAAAGCAAATTTCGTGGCAAAAATAGTTGAGGGAAAAAGAACATGTGAAACAATGTGTTATTTACATAGAACTACAAACCTTTTTTCATAATATACTCACTGCATATACGAGTCTGGCGCATGGGATACCGTCTCTTTGTCGACATTCAACTTGAGCTTAAAGCGCAAAAATTCATGGAACCAAGTATTGCTCTTCAAGGTTTTTGCATGTCACGTTAACTATCGCATAAATTGCAACAGCAGCAGGAGTTGAGCACCAAAAGCATTGAAGATAGTCCCCTCTTCAAGTGTTCCCTTGCCCATCCTCTTCCTGCGCTTTCATTGATTCGTCTCTCCAGCCAATGGAGGAGCACCGACGCTCTCACCAATCTCGCTTTTACATAGCGGACAAGTTGCATTGATTTTCAACCACTTATCTACACACTCTACATGGAAGACATGTTGGCATGGCAGCTCCCTCAGCTCGTCTTCATCAGCGTAGTCTACCAAGCAAATGCAACAAGTCTGCAATACCCCAACTAAGTTAGCTGCATTATTTTCCTAAGGACATCCAAAAATACTCGAATAACCACCACACGATTAATAAACCACATCTATCAAATGAATCCAACAAAAAATATCATTAACCTCAACTCACTAAGCTATACAGTTTTAGAGCATAGCTAACCAGAATTGTACTTCATAAGATAAGAGTAACTAAGAGTTCAATTCAGCAAGTAAACTAAAAGAGACAAAACTACCCTAGATGCTCCAGAAGATCATTATATATAGAATTAGCTTGTTCAGTTCCACCCAGTTAAGTTCTAGAAATGCATGTTCAAGAGGGTGCAGTTTACATGTAAAGACCAGTTACCTGTCAGCAAGTTCTTAGGATTAAACTTACCGCATCTTCTCCTGATATCACTCGTTCCTTTTCTGTCCCAGCAGCCAGGATCCCGCCTTCACCAGCTGAATCTTCCTCATCATCGACAGTTCCAGTTTTCTTGTATTTAAACTTGTAGATTGGCAATGCGTTTATAGATTCCGTGGTGGCTCCTCTAGTGGATGAATAATCCTCCCGAGCACCGAGGATAGTAATTATGCAAGGCAGGCAGCAACAAATGGTTGCACATAGTATGAATGGCATTGCATATCCGATACAGCTAAAAGTAAGGAACACAACACATAGTCTGAAATGAAACCAATAGACAGTTCACTAACCGTTAAGAAATTGTGAATCTCAATCAAAGCAGAATAATCAAGATTTGGTCCACGTCATACCTGTACAGTTTAGGAGCATCAGAAGGAGATGCATGACCTCCAAATATCCAAACACTGCCAATAACAAACCACGCAGCAAAAAAACAATCTAGGGCCATCTTCCAATGTTCAACTAATCCATTGAGCCTGGATATTTGACGCCAAATCTTCAATCAGTGACATCTAAATGATAATATAGTGTACAGAAACCTAATATTATGCCATATTACTGACGCTAAACCTTTGTCCAACAAAGATTCTAAACCAAACCAACCAAAAAATAGCAGGAACCAAAACATATTTTTATACTACCGTAAAATATATTACTCCCTCTGTCCCGCTAAATGCATCTCTTTTAATTTTTAAAATTGTCCCATTCAAAATGGCCTATTAGAAAGTCAACAAACAACACATTTCCTTTTTCACCCGTATATGTCTCACTTTTTTACATCTATCAAAATAAATCTATCAATCACCTTTTAAGGATAATTTTGCCATTTCCCTTGGTCAAATATATCTCCTAAAAATATGTGCATAGTCAATATACAGCACAAATTATGGGACGGAGGGAATATTAATTAGCATATTCATCAATAAAGATAAATCCAGGGAAGTTTATGATGCAAAATATTTTCTAATCCACTCTCAACTTTATTGTATAAAAAGTTAGAACAATGTGGAGACTTTTAACCCAAAAGTAGATGTAAAAAATAAAGGGAGACACACCTTGTGCTTGAGGTTCCTGCAATCTGAGTGTTCTCTGTTGCTGATTCAGTGTTCCCATTATTCCCCTCATCTGAAGCATGAGTAACTGAGATAGGGGTATAGGTTGTAGACTCATCGGGATTGCCAAGAGAAGAATCTTGATGCGAGTGTGATACATCTTGCTCACTAACCCGATTGCGGTTCAGAAAGCGCCAATAAAGAATAGGAAGTGTTGCAACACATCCAACTGCATAACCAACAATCCATGCAAACAATGGAGCATGTGGCTTTTCATTTCTTGACAATGATAGAACAACAACGGATGCTATAATCTGACTGAGAGTGACAACTAACTCAACAGATATCCATAATCCTGAATTTAAAGGGTTCCTGCGATGACGGCCATACCCATCACTATTCCTCGGGAATGATGCAGTCCTTGAGTTTAATCTTTGTGAGTTGAAAGATGCCCGATTTGTTGGAGTTTGTAAGCTGCTTGATGGCCTATCTTCACTCTGTGTCAAGTCCACTCCCAAAGATTGCTCATCATGAGACCTGCTTGACGAAGCGTCACCATGCCTCATGATGTCAATTATATGCTCTTGATCATTATGGTTTTCCACACGTTCCATTAGCAATGGATATTGGTCAGTTTGCTCTGTGCATTCTTTTGGAGAGGAACTGCTCATCTAACTCTGGCGACCCAATTAGAAGGTATAAAAGCGTAGATCGCTAATAGACTTTCTAGATCTATACAGTTTCCCCTCTCCAGACTTTGTAAGCTGTGCCAAGCAACTTAAAACACTTGGCACTGCAAAAGCTAGAACAAATCTACCAACTTTATTCCCTCTTTATACACAAAAGCTGTCACATAATATAGTGCAAAATCAATCAGACTAATCAAGCCAAGCCAACAATACAAATGCCATGAAATTTCAGGGAGAGCCGTAGCATGTATGTAACTACTATGAAGTTATAACATGGCTACACCATTGCATAACTGATAAGTAAAACTAAGCAGTAGCAGCAGACCAAAACGAAGCACCGATATCATAACCAGACAACAAATCAACCATAGCATACAAAAGATTGCATTCATTCCATAGCATACAAAAGATTGCATTCATTACAATGTATCAATAAAATCACTTTGTGAGGTCACTGCAACATAAACAAAAGAAGCAAGATCCTTAGAGAGCAAAGCATGGCGCAATAGGACATTAAGCACTAGCAAGGATTTCAGAAGAAAGGATCATTCATAACAAAGTAAACTAAAACTACTCATAAATAAAAATCCAAGCAAAATAATTCAACTTTTTAAACAATCAAGATAAACGTAGCCAGACATTACATTTCCCGTTACAATTTTGATAACTCAAGATGCTATTAGCATAATATTTTCATCATTACTTGACCTCAACAAAATTTTATATATTAAGCTATAAATTCAAGCAAATTCAATCAATCCATTGATGAACCACAGGAAAAGAAAACGAAAAAACATTTTTAATTTTGTGGAATCACGATAGAAGACCAGGAAATTCAAGCCTTGGACAGAAAAAAAATAATTAGAGAAAAACATAGGAACCTTGCGAAGGATTTCGAATGATAAATATCCGATAATGAATGCAAGTAAACCAAAAAAATGGAGATTTTCAAAGGATCATGATTAGTGTAAACCAAACATTATATTTCCAGTTATAAATTTGATGATCCGAGACATTATTAGCATAATATTTTCAAAAAACCTTAACGTCAACCGAAAACAAATAAAATTCCAATATCTATGCAATTGTTTAAGAAAATTAAATCGACCCATTGATCAACAACAAGAATAAAAAAAACCATTCTTAATTTTTCAGAATCAAGATAAATTAACAGCAAAACAAATTCCTAATTGAGAAAATACAGAAACAATAATTAGAGGGAAATGTTAGGAACCTTACCTAAGATTTTGAAAATAAAAAATCGGATAGTTTATCGAAGAAAATAAAAAAAGAGAAGCTCCGATAAACTGAAAAGGCTTTTGAATTCAAAGCCCAATTATTTTTCTTCCCTTTTTCTCTCGTTTTTCTTGAGAAAATATAGCGTCAGCTTTTCAGCTCCATTGCTTACGCCAACACAGAGAGAAAGAAGCGTTTCTTCCTTTTGATTTATACTTTGTTTTTTTTAGAAAGAAGAGAGAAGGGGAAAATCGAGAGAAATTTCGTGGGCCGTTCGATTAATTCAATTGGTTGAATTTTCTTCTCCCATCAACGGATTGGATCTCCTTCAGATTGGCCAAAATCTATTTGTATATATTTAATTCGTGGACATATATTTATTAAAAACATAGAAATTTTGTTGGTAGATAAAAAACAGATATAAATAAAATTTTAAGAAGAATATAATTAATAAAATAATACTAATATAAAAAATTTAAAATGTTTATGGATCATTTTAGCCTTGATTCATAATTTCACCTAATTTAAAAATATATATATAATTAAAAGTTTTGACGCTGATAAATATAAATATTCTTAGATGGATCAAAAATAATTATTTAATCGTTTTACCGTTGGATAAATATTCTTAAAGCTATAAATCTTAGGCTCGACCCTTTAGGCTTTAACTGCTCATAATTAAGTGATAATCTTACTTAAATTGTTAAATGCTTATAAGCGAAGAGAAACCCTACTACCATTTGATATAGTTGTTGAGATTATTTTGTCCTTTGTTATTTCTTATTTATTTAATTGTTTTACATTCCTTCGTATCTATTTATTATGGTTTTATTTGTTTATTAATGCGTGTGAAGCCTGCTTGTTCGCCGTTATGGAGATCTCTATCCCACTGCTGGCCTGATTTCCGTGCCAACCTTTGCTGCCTCCCAGGTGACGGCCTTGACACCCATGTTTGGAATTATGAATGGATTCCTTCGTTGGGACCGCTGTGCAACTTTGTTCAAAATCGTCATTATCCGGTTACACACCCCCATTTCCATGATCTTCTTGATTCGAATGGCAATTGGAATATGGGCGAGCTCTGCTCTATTCTCCCCGCCAATGTTATTCCCCATGTTTTAGCCATCAAACCGCCGGGAATTGAGGCGGGCGAAGACCGTTGCGCCTGGAAATGGGACCGATTGCACAGGTTTGGCGTTAAAAGCGCGTATGGCAAATTGGTCGAGGATCGTTGGGAAGCTCCTTGCCCTCTCTGGAAAATGATTTGGTCGCTGAAAGTTCCACAAAGGATACGGTCTTTACTCTGGTTGGTTGCTCGGGATCGGCTTCTTTCCAACCATGAACGTCATCGTCGTGGATTAGCCAACAAACCTGTTTGTCCTCTCCGCGGCGTTCAGGTTGAAACCACGATCCATCTGTTGCGAGATTGCCGAGCTGTGAAAAACATTTAGCACCAGCTGCTGTCGGCTTCATCCCTGAACTCTTTCTTCACCGCTCCTCTTGATGATTGGGTCCAAATGAATCTTGGCCTTAGCGACACTATCCCGGGTATGTCCTCTCCTTGGAACATTTTATTCTCGACCATTGCTTGGCAAACATGGAAACGCAGTAATAGTTTAATCTTCACTGATATCTGCCGACCCATGGAGGACGTTCTACTCTCCAGCTCTTCATGAGCCATGCACTATGCCAAGGACATTTCTCTTTCTCAAGCAACCACTCAACAACACACCCAATCAATCTCCTGAAAAGTCCCTCCAAATGGGTGGTGTTATATATACGGATGCTTCGGTTGATTCGGTCACAAGCTTCAGCTCAGTTGGAGGTGTTCTCCGATCTCATGATGGAACTTGGCTTTCTGGTTTCTTCAAAGGAATTGGGGTGACAGATCCGTTGCAGGCTGAACTTTGGGGTCTTTACCATGGGCTATGCGAAGCTTGGCGACATGGAGCCGAACTACTGCAGGTTCAATCGGATAATGTTCAAGCCATTAATCTCCTCAAGAATCAAACTGCCGAGGATGCTTTAATCCTGCTCGTACGCTCAATTTTGCAGATGTGCCATCGTATTTGGTTCGTTGAGTTCCTCTGGATCCCCCGTGAAGGCAATATTCCTACTGATTCTGAGGGACACAGGTTCTCCGATCCCCTACCAACGGTTCTCTCTTTGGTTGAAAGGGACATTGCAGATCCTCCCTATATTAGAGTTGCTGTAACTGGTTAAGGCTTATGCTTCTTTTCAATCCGAAAAAAATATGCATGTGAAGTAATTAACTGTAATAATATATAGATCTCTTTCCTTTGTATTGGAGTTATAGATTGGGGTGTTCTTTTAATCGAATTAATTAATGGATTAAAATTTAATTCAGTTAATTAGTTGATTAATTAGAGGTTAAATCGGTTAACGATTAAGATCTCTAAAGTTTAATTATTAATTAATTCGGTTTGAAATTGGTTAATTAATCTAAAATATTGATATATATTATATATAATATTAAGCTCGAGAGCCCTGTTAAGAATTAAGACCCAACTATTTTTAATCAAATTTTAACTCAAATAAAAACATATATCTATTAAACTCAAATCAATATAACTAAAACAATTTTCATAATATTTAGGTTAATTCGATCACCTATCGAATTAATTGAATTTTGTATAGTTAAATTAATATTTTTTTTAGAAAACCTTCTATTTGATTTAACTAATTCTATTCGGTCAATAATCGGATTAATCATTTGAACAACCCTGATTGTATATCATAACTTAAACCTATAAATTTTAAGCTCAATCTTTGAACTACTCATAATTAAGTGACCATGTGACATAAATTAGCTTAAAGCTATAATTTTTTTAAAGAAAAAAACTAGGTCTATTGTTGGGGATGTTTAGGGTTCCATAGAGTCCTTCCTCTGGCAACTCCTTGTCCGGTGTGAAGGCAAAGTGAATGCTGCAATTCAATCGATTTTTTTAGCCTTAAAAGAGAGTGTTATTCTCACCGAAAATCTTGAATTTGACCAGTTAAATATGTGTGTAAATTGTGTATTGTGTATAGGTAAGAAATATTATAAACATGTAGTAGTTCTAATCACCTTAAATTATTAAAAATATATCTACTTTATATTTTTAATTAATAATCTATTTACGTCTCTTTAAACAAAATAAGTTGACAGTTTCCACGCAGACAGAGAAGATAACCGAACCTGTAAATAATTTGCTAGGGCAACAATGGACAGTTTTCTGTCACTGTCTATGTCGGAGGATCTAACCGTCAGTTCTTGCTGGAAAACAAGACCTTCATCCACCATCCTTCCACCTAGTATGTCGTGTATCTTGTCAGGCTCAGGCTTCCCATGTTATAATTACTGATACTTGGACATTTTACACCCGTATGAAGGTTTTTGTGCAGCTTAGGTCTATTGGAGGACAAGGAAGATGGCCATGGGAGCATGGAGATTGTAGGTTCAGCTTTAAGGGTCGCCATGATTTTGAATTTTGATGAAGAGATATGCTCAAGGTTTTCTAATGGGGATTCAGAGTAGGGAAATTATGGGGTTTTGAATCAATATAAGTACCCATAATTATGGTTGTAAATGAGACGAGACAGATCGCGAGCTACTCGAGATCGACTCGATCAAGGCTCGATAAATACTCCGATCGAATGGACTCGACTCGAACTCGACTCGAGTTCTTAACGAGCCGAAACGAGCTACTCGATATTCGACTCGAAAAGCTCGTGAGCAGCTCGAAAAAATGTTATATTATAATTTTAGATTTTTTAAAACTACATTATAAAAAAATATTAAAAATACATTATTGATAATTATAAAATTTTAAAAATATATTAAAAATTCTATAATACAACTACCCTCAAATTTTAATTTTTTTTAATTAAGCAACTCAAGTCCAATTGTTATATTGTATATTATTAAAAGAAAAATAAGAGCTCATTTAATTAAGCACTTTTTAGATTACACCCTAAGCCCTAAGTCTTGAACCCTAAACCCTTAATTCAATTATGTGATAGGGTACTAAAAGAAAAATAAAAGCTCATTTAATTAAGAACATGTTAGATTACACCCTAAACCCTAAGTCTTAAGTCCTAAACCCTTAATTTGATTATATGATAGTGTTAAGTTATGCACATGAAGGTAACATATAAATTATGCAAAATGAAATTAATTAAATTAACAAGGGTTTATATGTAAATAAACTAATAAATCACATTTGGTCAAATCAATCAATAGGTCCCATTATCAAAACAAACGGTGATCAAAACATAAAATAAAAATAAATTAACAACCTGAATCATAAAAATGTAAACCTTGATTAATGACGAAATTAGAAGACTACAAATATAACAGGTCCTAAAATGCTAATATTCCATTTCTAAAACACGGGCTACCCCTAGTCGGCCGAGGACTTTCTAAAGCCAAGCCCTCACTGCATTCTTCCACCGTCTGGAGGTCAGAATTCTCTTTCAATGTCCTATTAGAAGGCTCCCCACAGTAGGTGTAATATTTCCAACAACACGTCCATCTTCCCTAGATTGCATGTTTGAAACTGAATGCTTCTGCACATCTGAGGTAACACTTGCAACTGCATTTTCAGTCAAGTTCTCACCATCAAAGTGAATTTCTTGGCTCAACTTAACATTTTCCCCTGTTAAACTGTCAACATTTTCATCAACAGTATCATTTTTCAAATGTGTGGTATCTTGGCTCCCTAAAAAAACACTACTTGCACAGGAGTTTTGCACAGAGGAAATCGAAGTATCAACTTGCACAGGTGTTTTGCAAGATGGTCATTCATCATCCCACATGGGTATGGGCGTATGGCCATGGCCATGGGCATGAAGGAGGATGATCTCCTGAAACCAGCGGCCAAGGTGTTCGCCACCATAAAGGATATTGAGGTCGGGAAGACGTTGCCCATCTATTTCCCCTACATAGGCTACCCAACCTATTATCAGTTCCTCCCTAAACAGAAAACCCATCACATTCCTTTATCATCGGAGAAGCTACCGGAGCTGCTCCGGTTCTTCTCCTTCTCCCCTGATTCTAACCAAGCCTTGGCAATGAAATAAACACTGAAGATCTGTGAGATGGAAGCCCCCAAAGGAGACGTATAGGGCTGTGTTACATCTTTAGAATCACTGGTTGATTTTGCAGAAAGTATCTTCGGACCAGACTCGAAAGTCGGAGTAGTAAGATCATCTCTGATATCAAAATCAACTCCTCTTCTCCAGAACTATACTGTTGTTGAATCCAAAGTGATTTCAACTGGAAAGCTTATAGTATTACAGAGAATAAGGGGTAAAGTAGAGTGTGTAAAAAGGATGAGTTTCAGTAAATGAAAATTAACCTGACCTGTCTTGTGTTTTAATTCAAAATCGAGCTTTAATCGAGTTTCGAGTTTGAATTGAGTTTGGAGCTTGAATCGAGCTCAGAATCGAGCTTCAATCGAGTTTGGGTTCGAGCTTTAGTCGAGCTCTTAAATTTTTTTGTGTTTGAGCATTTTCGAGTTGAGTATCAATATTATGTTTCGAGTTTGAGTCGAGTTTGATAATTTTAAGTTCGTGAGTTTTCGAGTTGAGTCGAGCTGACTTTGAAAGTTTTCGAGTTCGAGTCCAGCTTAGCAATACTCGAGCTCGACTTGGCTCGCTCATTGTTTTGAAAACCGGACCGGCCGGTTCAACCGGGAACCGTGTGCTAGTCCGGTTCAATCTAAACCGGTTGAACCGCTACTAGTGAACCGGCCAGAACCACTGAATCGTTCGAACCGGACCGGCTGAAAACCAGAAAAAACCAGAAATTTTGTTTTTTTTTTAAAATAAATCAAACAACGTCGTTTGTTAAACGAGCCAAGTCGAACTCGAGTATTGCTGAGCTTGACTCGAACTTGAAAAATTTAAAAGTAAGCTCAACTCGACTCAAACTCACAAGCTAAAAATTATCAAGTTCAACTCAAACTCGAAATATAATATTGAAACTTGAACTCAAAAAGACTTGAACTAAAAAAAAAATTTAGAAGCTCGATTGAAGCCTAAAATTCGAGCTTGATTGAAGTGAAAAAATAGTTCACTCAATGCTCACCAAAAGGCTCCATGATTTTAAATGCCAAATTACCTTTATTATTTATAGAAGTTAGTTGTGATGTTCTTCTATGTTTCTTAGCAATGTATGATTGTTTTGTTCTCATATTTTTACTCTTTAGACTTTTGGGATGGTCTTCTATGTTTCTTAGCCATATGTGATTGTTTTTAAAAAAAAATTAAACCAAACAATATCATTTTGTTATGATTTTTTTAACCCCAAATTTATATTTTAATTATAGTTATATAATTATATTTATTATTTAATATGTTTTACCTTAAATATTATGTTGTAGTTAATTTGAATCATTTTGTTTCACTTAATTTTATGATTTTTAACTTATATATGTTATGACTTGCTTTGAATATGACTTGTGATATAAAAAATTATTTTTATTAAATATTTTTGATATTTTTATTTAATTTTTTAAATAATTATGATGTCGTCCGATTCTTCTGACCGATCGAACCGATTCAATCGATTAAACTAGTGAACCGGTAACATGGCCGATTCATTAACGGATCCGGTACCATGGGCTCGCTTACACCCCTACCCATAATGCCTTGAATTGACAACCCAATTAGGCACCGAAATGTTGACTTTTAATAAGTATTTGTTTGTTTTATTAATGTTTTTAACGTTTTCCCTTCTTTTATTTATGTTTATAATTTATAATTTTAAATTTTGATTGTATAAAAAATATAAGACAAATAATAATAAATAAATAAAACGAAATCAAGTGATCATAATATCTTATAGTTTTTTATTCATCTGGATAACTATAAGAAAAAATATGTTCAAAAAATATTCTCAATCATTTGAGATTAAACGGCCATTCCCCTTACTTTCTTGGTACTCGAACCCAAAATCTCAAGAAATAATAACAATTTTTTTACTATTGATGTCACTTAATTCATGTAATATTTTATAATTTTAAATATTGTTTAAATATAATATATTTTATTTGATGTTACTTATAATATTTTGTATGAAATCATTCAAAATTATAATTATGTAAAGATTAAAAAGTCAATAGTAAAAGGAAAAAAGAGATAAATATAATGATATAATTTTTTTTCAATTTATATATCTACGCAAGATAAAATAATTCTTCTTTATCATTGTAATAATAAAGAGTAAAATATAAATTTTATTTCTAACATGTAATCATAGGATATATATTAATAAAATGCTTTTAGGTTAAAAGAGTTATATATATACATATAAACAGTCTCCGAACTTCATCTACCAAATAAATTTTTAGAACTGAAAATTGTTCAATTTTTTTCTCTTCTAACCTTACAAAGATACAGTTTTGGAAGAACCAAAACATGAGAGTTTGTTGTGGACAAGATTTCGAGGAATACTAAAAGCATTCGCATGAACGTGAATGAAGATGTCAGAATATGAACATCAGATATTAAGCAAAGTTCAGAGGGAAACTCCACCTGGAAATCTAAGTGTTATCTACTAACAGGGAAGTAGCCCTTTTCCTTTTTTTTTCAGAACAGTGTTTCGAGCAGTTTCGGAGACGTAAAGGCCGACACCGATTTGAACTGGAATGAAAACGGGATCGTTAGAGATCATATAGGAGACCACAGTTCATACAGCAAATTCAAGGAGGCTGTTACCTTTTGTTGTCTATATTTCACACGGATGGCGGTTAGAGGACAACGGTTGGTGTTCAACTGTAAATCTTGCAATGCGACAACCGTGGTTTTGAGATCGGATGCATTGTACGCGGTGTAGTGTTCGAGTGTTGGATCCTGCCAAGACGGAACATGAAGTTAAGGTCTACATGTAGAGGCCATGGAACCTACATCAAGGACCAATGAAAAGAATACAGACCCATGGATGACATGATTGATCCAGAGTCCATCTTGCAAGAAACACAGCTGATGCAGCCACCATAGAAGGAGCGAAATTTAAGAAACCGTAATCGACTAGTGTCAGTTCTGCTAGATAATCTGCCAGGCATTCCAGTTCTAAACTAGGGGTCTGCAATTAGGTGTAGAAAATTCAGTAGTATGCTCAATAAAAGGAGATCAGAACTGCCTGAACCGAGGCGAATTCTATTCCGAACTATTATGTTACCGTGTAAGAAGCTTGTGCTGCTCTCAGACATCTCCTGAAAAACAGGAATTTGTGCAAGAAAGAGAATTAGGACATATGCATGCATTGCATATCCTGTACTGAGCTAAAATACCTGAGAAAAGTTTTTGCAGTAGGCGCAAATAGCTGAAAACCGAAACACTTCAATACTTGACTCTCCATTTTTAGCACCTGCCAATTTTGCAAGTAAGAAACAAAACCAAAAGTATGTTGAACAAGGGAAGAAAGGAACAAAATAGAATCCAGATTCTAAACCCTCATCAATATGAATAGGACAAAATTTACTACATAGCTGCAATTGGCAACAAAAAGCTCCTATAGAACTAAGTAAGAACTGTGAGCAAAATTCTACAAATGTTGAAGTAGTCTGTTAATTAGATGGCAATGGCAAACCTCCTCTCGAATGTAAGTGTTGTCTGTGATGAAGCAAAATTCTTCTACACGAGGTGCACATATTTCTTCGTACTTGCTTCAAGTATATTAAGAGAAACTAATGTCAGATACAATAGGAAAGTAAATACAGAGGTTATTTCATGATCAATTCACTATTGATCCCTAGAAGTTTGAATTTTTGAATGAATGAAACCATGCAACAAACTTGGCTACTGATGCAAAAACTTACGAGGCTATCAGCATGCAGGTGATCCCAAGAAGTTGAAGTTTCTTTCTTTCTATGTAGTTTTGAGAGAGAAACCAATCAATTAGATACACTGTAAGGTACAGTGTATCAGGGACTAACTTATATTCTTCAGATACCTGAAACCGAATTGGAATTTGCTTTGAACATTGGTACAGGAAACAAAGAAAATAATCATTTCATTAAATAGCCAAAAACACTGTAACGTTGATGTGCATCAGGAACTATAACATTTCTCAAAACCACTTCCGCAAAACGTAACAATGTATATACAATCACAGGAATGTTTCTGGTGAGAAATAACATTGGGAATAAACTAACCTCCACAAGCCAATCAACCAAAATTGCCCGCATGCTTTTAGTGATATCTTGCTGTATTGTCTCCATAAAATTAGGATATGGCCGGCGAGGAAGCTGAAGAAATAAAGAGATTAAACAAATGCAAAAATGAAAAGTTCTAGCCGAGAAGACATTTGATTTAACTTGAGCCAGAGGCAGTTGCTCATGTTACCAATTTTTGCAAGTTTAGGAAATGAAATTCATTAGATTCTTAGTCGATGTAAAATGAATAATGATCGATGCTTGCAACACGGAATGGACAAATATAAGATGACATCTATAGCACACACATACCTCAGCAACACGCAAGTTACTATAGATTTCTGTGGCATAGAGACTGCAGAATTGAGGGTCCTTATCGGAGTCAATGTCTTTACAGTCTGGGTCACTAGATGTTGAGGTCCCAGAAAAGGTACCCTTCTCTACTGTACCCATTTCAAAACAAGAAGCAAAAGTAATCATGTGTTATCCTATACATATCCATCTTAGAACCATTACTAATACAAGAAAGAAAGCTATGCAATGTAAATTTGGCTCTGCAATCAGGGAAAAGAAAACACATCCTTTGCTAACCGTTTTTAAAAGGATTCTGTGGTTGGAAAGGCACTGTGGAATTGTCATTTGCAAGCCAGTCGAAATGGACACCGTCATCCTTTTTGCTATCTAGTGGAAGAGCATGATCTCCTCTAACACTAACCGAGCGTGTAACGTCTTCTAACTTAGGATTTACTATTTCCGTTTCTCGAATGCCTTCTTTCTGTAACTTGGATTCAGTTGGCTGGACTCGAGGTGGTTCATCCGGGGCCACTTTGGATGTATTGGCATGTGCCTTTCTAGCCTGCTTACTGCCCTTAGACTGGAAGTGTCAAAATCATACATAAGTAATTGGTGTTATTGTGCTTCTTATAATTTCGCAATAAAAATGTACAGCAACATGTGAAAACATTTAAGCGGTAAAATACATTTTGTTCACCAAATAGTTAAATAATTATACCATAATACTTTAAAATGTAAGACCACAGTCGATATTATAATTGACTAAGGGCGGCATAGTAACCTGTATTTTGGTTGCATTAAAGCACTTTCTATATGAATTATTGCAGCAAACATTGGTAACATCCTGAAGCACTGCTCTCTTCTTAGAATGATGACTTGCATTCTCAGCTGCATTGGTGTCGTTTTCGTCTAAGGCTGTTCTTTTCGTATTGGCTGGCAGAACCCGTTTCTGATCTGATTGCGTAGGTGGCCTTAGATGAGGCAACTCTCGAGAAGAACGCAACACTGCTGCTCGAACACGTGTGAGTCGACCACTAAATTCTCCAACATCAGTAGAAACTGCAATTTCCTTCCTCATCTTTGCAAGTCTTGGAAAATTTCAAGACAGGGCACCAAAACGAAGCTAGAAAAGCAAAGCCTGCATCAATGGTCAAAATCATACCAAGTGAACATCAAGTAAGGAGATCAAGCAACAAGGTCCATTAAAACTTCAGATTAGGTAAAATTGGCAATGTCAGATAACAGATCTCAGCATACTAAAAAACATAGTGGAAGTAATGATGCCACAAAATAAAGAACTTTTGATACTTCAAACTTAAAAGAAGAATGTATGTTGGCGATTCATCCAAGATAATGCTTCTCCATTACTTATTTGTCATTTGATCTACGAGATTTGGACATGAAAATCCTATAACTTCACCAAACCATACACCACCTAATAAATCAAGCAATGCATTTAGGGAACTTCAGCTCCTTTCAAGTTGTTTCTAAGGAAAATTCGCCACGTCAGAGTGCATTGTTCTATGAGAAATCCCATTTCACCTAACATTGCAGAAACTTTTCATGCAATCAACAAGCAACAAAAATGTACACTGAAATTTGGCAAGAAACTAACTTTTTGTGTCTAAAAAATGTTTACAAATGTAAAAATAGTTTGAAAACACATTTCAGCTTAGAAAGTTAGAATCTTAAAGACACATTTTCTTAAACTATCATTTCCCTCGAACCCTTACTTTTTTTCAAAAATTATAGTAAACCAAGAAATCCCCGAATCCACCTGGTAGCTTATAAACCACTAGAAATTGAAATTCAACCGCATAAAATGAAAAAGAAAAGGAAAGTGAAATGGATATGTTATAGAATTAAAAGAAGGTTCATAAAGATTGAGAATTTGACCTGATTTTTATCCTTTCTCAGCTCCAAGAAAATAGCTTAGAGCTTGGAAGGAAGAAAATCAGGACTAGAAAAGAACGAAAGAGTAAGGTGAGCGGGACAGTGTGTGTTTAAACTTAGAAATTTAAAAAAAAATAAGGTAAATTATACATGGGACCACTTAATTATTGTTCTTTATTATTTTGATCATCGAAAGCACATTAAGTCAAGATTTAAATCTAAAACTTACGAGCAGTCAACTTAAAAAAAATGACAATTAAAAGACATAAAAATTATTCATTTGAAATTTTTGTCCCCCTATGTTCAACTGATACAGCTAGCACTGTTGCCGGGTGGTCCAAATTCCAAATAAATATTTCAAATTAATCTCCATCTTAATCCGGATTAAAGTAATCAAATATCAGCAGAAGATGGAAGCATTGGTCGAAGTCGCTTTATAGTAATAGAAGGCACTGAACTTTAGAGCATTGGTAATAGGACTATGAGTGATAAAGGTAAATTACACGTTTATTCATTATACGGTTATTTTTTTATATTTCACTCATCGTATTTTAATTTATTCATTGAACTTTAGACATTAAATATTTTTGGATATATATTTTTTAATTATGTGATGATGTGATATTTTTTATTATTTAATTAATTAATATTTTTTATATATTTTTTAATTATCTCTTACCTATTTTACCTCTCATCTTCCCCACTCTCACTGTTATCATCTTCACCAGTTAATGTCTCCACCATCTTCTCTTTTTCCTTTTAATACTTGCATCCTCCATTGCTTTCATCCTGTCACCACAAAGAATCAAACGAGGCCAACTCACTACACCACCAGCTTTCTTAGATGGACGATGATGCTCAATAGAAGAAGATGAACAAAAAAGTTAGAATTAAGCTGATTCACCCAACTCGTCGGCATCACTAAACCACCAGCTGAATCTTAGCTGGATGATGATGCTCTTTCAACAAACAAAAAGGAGTTCACACACCAAATTTGATATTTCCTTCCCTTTAAAAACATAGCCACAATGCTTCTCTTCCACTTCAATTTTACAGCCGTAGGATCCTTCATCAACCCTTCTTCCCATTCGGATCAACCCCTCATCCTTTCAATACCCTTTCTCTACTTTAAAAATTAAATTCTATTATCAAACCTCAATCTTAAAACTTCAACCCCAATAACCTTCACAATGAGCAGATCAAGGCAGCCTCCAGATCTAAAAAATTACATGGACAAGAAGCTCCAAATCAAGCTGAATGCAAATCGGATGGTTGTTGGTACACTTCATGGGTTTGATCAGTTTATGAACTAGTGGTTGAGAACACTGTGGAGGTGAATGGCAATGAGAAAACTAACCATGGGATTGGAATTGTTATGTAATTGAAAATTCATACGAATTTAGATGGATCTCCATAGATTCTGCTCTTTCATTTCCAAACTGTAATTAAAAAAATTAAAAAATATTTATTTAATCCACATGATGATGACGTTAGAAAATGTGACAAAAAAATTTAATATTTAAAATTTAGTGAGAAAATTTAAAAAAAATGATTTGAAAATTTGAAACGACAGGAGATGATAGAAAATGGAAGTGGGAAGAAAGAATTATCACATGAAATTGCAGCTTTTATGAATATTTAATTTTGTTTTTTATGTTCCAATTTGATTTTGGACCCACGTGATGGGAAAACACATTTCCACTTAATCGCCCATTAATGCTTAACTAAAAAAAGTATCGTTTTTAGAATATACATATTTAAATATATTTACGTCTATAAAATATGTGTTATCATTAAATTAAAAATATTTTGAACGGATATAAACATTTAATCATCCTTAACTATTCAAAATAAATATACGAATTAACTTATCTCAATGATTAAAAGAATTGGTGTTATTCTTAAAGGTCACCGGTTTGAACACCAATGACTACAGTAGGGTGATTAAACGTTCATTGTCAAATGATTAAAGATATTTAAAACATATACTAATTTATAATCACATTAGCTTAATAAAAAAACTATTTAAAATAAACATCTCATGTTATGTGTACCCTTCTAAAAAAAAGTTCATCTTGTATAATTAGATACTTAATAAGATATTAATATAAAAATAATTGAACCAATAATAAAATCTATTATTATTTATAATAATAATAATTATAATGGAATATAATTAAATATAGCATTAATCTACACATATATTTATATTACGAGTCTAATCTTATAACAATCTTACAATTTGTCATAATCTCGAATTACCTTAATCAACTGTATTATCTTATTGGTACATATAGTATTAGATACTTGAATTGCCAGTCCAGCTCAGTTGGTAGAGTGCAAGACTCTTAACCTTGTGGTCGTGGGATCGAGTCCCACGATGGGCAATTCATAATTGTCGGAGGTCTTCCACGGAAGTTACTCTCAACCTAGCGTTAGGGGCAACCTACTACCCTACCTCCCCTTACTCCATTATACATATGGGAATAGGGTCAGCTAATTTTATAGTATCATATGCCTTTTAACTCTTTCCAGAAAATATTTCACATGGGAGTAGCTGGAAAGCCAAGTCATTCAACTTAACAAAGCAGATGGATTCTATAAGCTTGGGTTGAAATATTGTGATTTGAGTACTGGGGAGTAAGTTTGACCAAATAATACTAGAGGGACTAAATTTGTACAGAATGAAATATAAGTACTATTCATGTAATCTGAAAAAAATCTAGGCTTTGGTTAGTTAAATTGAATTCGGTACCTTTTAGGTACTCGAATCGTTGTCATTGAAATAGACTAACAAGTATGATTAATTAACTTGAATATGGAGGTCTTAGATACTCTCGTCAATTTTCGGCTATTGAAATAGCCCTATCCATATTAAGGGATCCTTTGGGCCTCACCTATAAGAGTCGGGCTCTAAACTTGGCCCTGGCTTCGGTTCAACTTGGTTTTTTTTATCTAATAGGACAAACAGTTTTTATTAATTAGTCCAATAAGGTATATAGAAGTTTATTTTGTGATGTACTATATTTATTATAGTGACTTTGAACTCCTCACATTGACGTGATAAATTTCAATGAAATATATATTTTATTCAAACTTTTTACGATGATGTGATAAAATTTAATAAAAATTATGTTTTTATTAAAACTCGTCATTTTGATGTGACGAATTTAAATAACAAATATTATTTGGGTAAACTAGTTTTCTCAAAATGACGAGTTCCTTGAATACCGTAACAAATATCATAGATCCCAAAATAAATTTTTATATACTCTATTGGGCTAATTAATTAAACTGTTTGCCCTAAAAAAATCGTTGAACTTCCGCTATTGGGTTCACTGTAACCAATGGCCTTAAATTCCAAGAATAATGGCATATTGTAAAAAAAAAAACATCCTTTAACAATAACTGAATAATTATTTTAATTTTTTTCTTAAAGCACTTTGATCCCAATGTTTCATTTTGGAATAAAATGATTATTGGTTATATGGAAACAATTTATGCTTGTAGCTAATGTGAGATTATTATATCACCATTTTTTGACACGTGACATATACAATACCATCACTTTTCGATATGTGACATATTTCATGTCATCACTTTTCGACACATAGCATGTGTAACATCACCATTTTTTGACATGTGTCATGTCATCAATTTGAACACATGGTAGTCTTATACCAGCGACGTACGTCGATTGTTAGTCAATTAATAGTTAAGTTCAATCAAGGAAAATTTTATTTTGAAATAAAACATTAGGACCAGAATGCTAGGGGAAAAAACTAAAGCAACAATTAAAATTACGTGTGAAGTTTTGATGTAATATATGTAAAAACATATTACATATATTTTTTAAATATGTAATGTAATAGATAAATTTTGATTTTATATAATTATATACATAAATTTTAATTTAATTTTAATATGTAATATGATAGGTAAATTAGTTTGATTATATTGTAATTATATATACAATAATTTAGTTCCATTCAATTGTGTAATAGAAAATATACAAATTAAGTATCAGTTTTGTTGATTCCGTTACTACTATAAATATTTAAAGACGTTGATTCAAATAGCATCAACAAATTCGAAATTTTTTATTTGAATTTACTTCGAGTTGTAGTTTTATAAGTTTGACTTGGTTTGAAATTTTGTAAGTTCAAATCAAGTCGTAAAATACAACTCGAATAACTCATATAGTATCTCAAATAACTATAATTTTTTAGTAATTAATATATTGATTTTTAAGTTTGATCAGTCGAGTCTTTTGACTATGTATGATATATGTACGTCGCATATAAAAAATATGAAGAAATATATATATGTATTATATATGACTATAAAAAACATTTAAATTTAAATAAAATAATATCATAATATGATAAATATTTACAATTAAATCTAAACATAAACTTAAAAATTCAACTCGAAATTTATAAATTTGACTCGACTCGGAAAAATTTCAAGTCAACTTCGAGTTGTAAAATAGGACTCGTCAACGGAAATAACTAGAAATTTTTGACTTGATTCGATCAAACGCTCACATATGAATTTAAGTGTATTTAAACGCAAAATGATTATAATAATTAATAAATTTAAATTGGGTTTAATTTGTTACATATATATATTTTTATTAAGCTAAGGTGATTATAGTAATATTTATTCGAAATACTCTCAAATATTTGACAATGAATACTTAATAACTTATGTTGTAATTGATGGTGCTTGAACCGAAATTTTTAAAAATAATAATAATTTGTTCAACCACTAAAATAATTTAATTCGTACTTTTACACGTATAACTACGTATAATAAGAAATCCGGAATCATATTAAACATTAAATTAAAATAGTCATTAAAAGAAAAAGGGAAAAAATTTTGTATGCCCATTATAATAAAAAAATATTAAAATTTTTTAACCCCATTTTTAAATTTATGATTCCGCCACTGACAACCCATGAAATATAAATCTATGTACTAAATGATGGTGGCACCACATATATGGAATATGTGCATGATAGGATAGGATAAGACAATGCTACCACTATCATGACCAGGAGACGAGGATTATCGTTCTTCTGAAAATTTAAATTTTTTGTATGTTTTAATTTTTTTTTATGATTTTTTTATTGAAAATATGTTTTTTCTTGTTTAAAGTTTTATATATTTAAGTTTATCTTAACGGATATTATAAGATTAAGTTTACTCTAACATAAAATTATAGGCTGTGACATGACTACATTGTTGCTATTATGTTGCGCGCTCATGTTAACCACTCAGCAAAGTAGAATGAGAGATGTGAGGTCCATATTAAAGAACAAATATATATATATATATATATATTAGGATTAAGTATATAGGCTTAAGATTAATGATAAAATATAAGTATAAAGAAAGCGAAAAGCAAAGGAACACCCATTTATTTTTATTTCGTTTTCCGACAGATATACCATTTGCACATGTAGTCAAAATATCTATAATTTAAGATGATTACAAGGATAAGAATAATGTTTATTCAGAAATTTTAATTTATTATTAATATACATATAAGCTATACACCTTATAAGTAATTATTTAAATTTTTAGAAAGAATAATATTCTTTTTTTACAATCTTTTTTACCATTAAAATTATGTTTTTATCTTGTTTTTAGGGTAGTCATTATCTCATTAAACAATTGTACAAAAATAGAAAAAATGTAAAAAAAAAAAGTAGAATATTGTGTAAATACTCATATACTTGTAAAAAAAATAAGTTCCTAAAAATAATACAATAATATGTGTATAATTCATATAATGTCAACAAACTCATAACTTTTGATTAAATAATAACTTTGATCTCTATTTTTTGTAATATTTGATCCATATATTTCGTTTTGAGGCAAAAACACCCCTCTATGGATGGATTCCGTTATTTAACATACGATTAAAGCTTTAAAATACTAGTTTTTTACCCTAAAATGAAACATTAACTGTCAAAATGCTACAGAAAAAAAGAATAATGATTAAACTGAATATTTGGTCAAATATTCAGGGATTTTTTACCCTAAAATGAAACATTAAAGGCAAAAATATTCTAAAAAAAAAGAAAATGGACTAAAAGGTCATTTTGATAAATTTTAATGGCTATTTTTCACATTATACCTAGTAGTTCACACTGATTAAAATATTATACTTCGCAAAGCAGAAGAAGGAGAGCAAGTGGAGGTGGGGAAAGGGGTTGTAGATATGGATGTTTTCCTACTTGAGGACAAGACACAGGCACATGGAGAGGGAGGGATGTCCCTATTCTCTTATCTTTTCTTAATGATTTTTAAATTACTTGAGAGGCTCTTCATTTCTTTCCATTTTACATTGGCATTGTAGAGGACAAGATGGTCCTTCCTGTTTTTGTCCTTTCTCTTCAACCATACAAAACTCTCACTCTCATTTCTTGTCACCTTCTAGTGGCAACTCCCCCAACACCACTCAACAAACCCCAAAACGGCCTTTCTGCTCAAATATCACCTATAAAAAATTATTATCAAATTTAACATAAGATTTAGTCATATTTCGAATCGGAACTCTTTTGTGTCATATAAGATGAAGGCGCAGTGTTTTTAGTAGGAAGCGTCTTAGGCTAATGTGATAAAAGTCGGTGAAAACTTTTAAAGGTTGGATCAAAAGAATTACACGATTCAATGATGCACATATTAATCTTATCTTCGATCGCTCAACGAATACATTTTTAAATTATATTTTTGAACGTTCGAAAAAGTTCATATACGACTAACGTGACCTTTGATAAGCTTATGGCCAAACATACTAATTTTGAGTTGTCAAAGACATGTTCTAAATTTAAGTAGACCGTATCTTGAACTCTATCGATTGTTATCTTTTGAAATACTTGAGAACCCAATAATAAGAATTGTCTATGACGATCGTGCTGATATGGATCTGTTCAAATTCAATATCTCTTTTTAATAACTCAAAATCAACAATTTAGCCACGGGCTTCTTAAATCTCACATTATTTAGATATGAATGTTTTTAAACGTGTAAATATAACATTTTAAAGATGTATTTATTAAGTGATTGAAGATAATACTAATACACGTACAATATTGTCTAGTATAGCTCTTACTCGTGAAAATATGTGTCTTTAACACGTATCAAATGTGTATTTTTTTAAGAAAAAATTCATATACTTTTTTAAATATTTTTTACCGTTCTTTTTTCTTTCTTTCCATTTTGGTTTTAAACTATCACTATGAAATATGCATGCAAAAGATACCTTGAAAGCACTTCTTACTCGGCATGTCGTCGCCTTACGTCATATAAAAGGGGTTTCAATCTAAGAAATAATTTAAAATATGTAGCAGTAAATTTGATATTATTTTTTTAAAAAAAAAAAAATACTTAAAAGGGGATAGAAGAAAAGAGAAAAATAAAATAATTTGATTAAATTATGTTGAATTAAAATTCTCAATTAACAAAATTATGTATTTATAATACAATGAATATTATCCTACATCTTTTAATGTATCATAGGAATAGTGGTCTCACTAATTCGATTTAAAAAGTTTAAAAACTATTCTCAATCATTCAACAATAAACGCTCAATCGCTTCTATTGTAGTGATTGGTGTTTTAAAAAATAACAATCGACCAATGAAATAATTTGGTTTGTGCTGGAATTAAACGTTCCATAAACATGACGACCTTTTTAACCTGTAAAATCAAATTGTCTCTTTTATCTTTTACTATATATATTTGGTTAATTCTCAACAAGAAAAATCACTCTCACCTTTTCCCCCAGTATATATATTCACTGGAAGCCATCAAATCTCTTCGCTCATTTTCTCTGTTTCTTCCCCTCAAAAGTACACCTTTTTAACTCACTCCAACACATACTTTTTTTCCTCTTCCTATTAATCTCTCAATTTCTCTATTGTGTACGGATTCTCCCTTCCTTTCCCTTTCCTTGATATCGACAATGCCTTCCAGACTGTCGGACGCCTTTAGACCTCACCCTATCCACGACTTCACCTCTCTCCGCGAACTACCCGACTCCTACGCGTGGAATCAACGCGACGACGGCGGTTACCCTTCGGCCGCCGGAGAAGCCTTTGCCACCGAATCCGTGCCGGTTGTCGATCTCGACGACCCTAATGCTCTTCAAAGTATTGGCCATGCATGCAGGACTTGGGGAGTTTTCCAAGTCACCAACCATGGGATCCCCACGAGTCTACTTGATATGGTGGAGTGCACTTGCCGGACCCTTTTCTCTTTACCACTTCACCAAAAGCTTAAAGCCGCGAGATCACCGGACGGCGTGTCCGGCTACGGATTCGCCAGGATTTCCTCCTTTTTCTCTAAGCTTATGTGGTCTGAGGGATTCACCGTCGTTGGGCCACCGGACGAGCATTTTCGTCAACTTTGGCCTCATGGTTACAGCAATCACTGGTGAGCACCCATTGCACACATGCGAATGCACGTGCAAAGTTGTGATATTTTCAGTCTTTTGTGCCAAAAAAAACCCATTTTCCTTTAATGCAATTAGCAAAGTTTACATTGAAATCTATGGACCCACGAAGTAGATTAGGAGTAGTAATGGAGTCAATGAAAAATATCCACTTGTTAAGTGTTTTCTTTGTGCTAGGTCCAGCATAACAGCAAGTGGCGAATACGAATGTTGCGCCTGTCTATCCTTAAATTCGAAGTTTTTAAAGATAATTATTTATTATATCGATGATATTTATTTTAAAATTTTAATTATTAATGTATTTGTTTATCCTAAAATAATATTTTTTTGGATCCTACCTCCTTCACTGTTGTATACAGTGTTTTGTTTCTTTCGGGAATTTGATTTGATATGATTCTTCCTCAGTGACGTGATTAAAGAATACAATGAAGAAATGAAAAAGCTAGCAGGGACGTTGATGCGGCTCATGCTGGGTTCCCTAGGCATAGTTGCCAAGCAGGATATCAAATGGGCTGGCCCAAAAGGTGACTTTAAAGAGGCCTCAGCCGCTTTACAGTTGAACCACTACCCGGCTTGTCCCGACCCCGATCGGGCCATGGGTCTCGCTGCGCATACGGACTCCACCCTCCTCACCATCCTCTTCCAAAACAACACTAGTGGGCTGCAGGTCTTCAAAGAGGGAGTTGGATGGGTCACGGTCCCTCCGGTACCGGGAAGGCTTGTGATCAACGTCGGAGACCTTATGCATATACTGTCCAACGGGTCGTACGATAGCATTCTTCACCGGGCCATGGTGAACCGTACCCGTCACCGACTATCTCTAGCGTATTTATATGGGCCACCATCGAGTGTCGAAATATCACCGCATCCGAAACTAGTAGGCCCAAATCATCCGCCTCTCTATCGACCGGTTACTTGGAACGAATATCTTCACACCAAAGCAAAACATTTCAACGAGGCACTGTCATCAGTTAGGGTTTGTGTACCTCTAAATGGGTTGATTGATGTAAACGAACACAATAATAGTGTAACAGTTGGATAAGAGAGTCATTTTTGTTATAAATATTAGCTTTTGTTTTCTTTCTCCCTTGTATTGATTGCTTTGGTCGTTTATTGGGCCCCTACTATTTTGGAGTATAGTGTTGGGAGTGCAATTATTTTAAAAAAAATCAACTCAGTTAAACTACTAGCAGGGACGGATAGAGGAAGAGCCGACCGTATAATTATATTTCTTAAAATTTTTAATATTTCATATAATTTAGATATTTTATTTATATTTTCTATCAATAAATTGCTTTCACGCCTTGAAGGTTGAACTGGGTTGCGAGACAATATAATCACAATAAAAAAGGTTCCATCACTTGTTTTTATTATTTTAAATAATTTCATGTGTAAGAAGACATTAGGACCGACATGTTTTAGCCCGGATAAGGAGACAGATCCCATCCAAAGAATAAAACAATAAAGTCCTTTAAATCATCGAGAGAAAAAAGAGAGAGCCATACATCACTGAAAATATCCATAGGAAAAGCTAAAAATGAAGCCAAGATTACTGCAAACCAATGCCTTTTTAGATATTTATTGAAGAGAGCATTATTGAAGAGACACAAGTGTCAGTGATTTGAATCCACAAAATAAGAAAAACATATCCAAGAGAAGATGATAATATTGGCTCTCCAACCACGTGCAAGCCCACATTGGCTACTCAGGTTCCAGAACCCTACCTTATCGAAAGAGATGTAGCAGTTTTTACCGTTTCTTCGTTGTTCATTTGTTGTCGGTCAAAGGTTAACTAAAAACACACACACACATTCCCTTTACCTGAAATAACACACAGATTCGTTGACAAAAGAAGGGAGGCCAACATAATCGGTTAAAATTTCAGACAATTTTCCTTTGCATAATTGAGGAGAGCGTTGGTTGAATGGTCCCTTATGAAACATGATTGAAGAGAGGCTACAAGTTTAAAGAGGGGAAGTAAAGAAAAGAAAGCCACCTAGACTACAAGTTTTCAACCAAATGCACACCTACATTATCTGGACGTGGCCGGAGAGTTATTGGTTCATGCAAAGATTTAAAGTTGGTTTTAAGTATGTTGACGTTAGGAATTGTTATGGGTCAGTCAGGTTTTTGGCTCACTTAAATCCACGCTAAAAATTGAAGTCATGTAACTGATTTAACTTAGAATTAGGAGAATTCTATCCGATTCTATTTTTAGGTCAAAACTCACATTCGATCATATTCAACTCGACCTATATATAAATTATTTTTATTAGGTAAAATAAAAACCTAATTGAAAAGAATAATAATATATATGAGTATTCTCATCATTATTCCTAAATATATAAGGGATTATTATAATATTATAAAGAGTTAATTTTTGACCCTAAACTTGAATTCGATCTAACCTCACCAAAACTCAAATTTTTAAAATAAAAAACCAACCCAAGTGAGTCGGAACCCGTCGGATCCAGGTGAATTGCCCATCCCTTAAAACATAGAGATAGTTATAATATTATGTCGAGTCAGATTTTTTCATCCTAAACCTAAACTTGACCCTATCTTTAAAAAAACCCTACATGAACACATATATTTAAAAATAAAAATTTGATCTGATTGAATCGAGTTCGTGTGAAATGCCTATTCCTAGTTGGCATCTGACTTTAGATATATATATATATATATATATATATATATATTTGAATAATATAAGATGATTATAAGGTAATATCATTTCAGATTTTTTTAACTTGTTGACAACATACACACTCTGCAGAAGATGTTTCTCAAACCTATAATCTCTAGAGAAATCAATATCTTTTTACTACTCAAATCGAATTCAAATACATATTTTCTCTATATGTTTAAGTGAATTTACATTATCTTTTAAATTATTATAACAACAATCGTATCAATTGATTTAATATTCAATTCTCTCAACACACACAAAAAAAAAAAAACAATGTACAGCTCATAGTCGGCAGTCTCCACATCGAAGCAACAACTTGTACTATAGGGTTTTATCAAATCAGAACCCAATTGCTTAAGTTGGAGATGACATCAGAATCAATCCATGGTGATTTAATTTTCGATGAGATATAAAATGTAGATCACAAAACTGCGATTCCATTTCAGATTCAACTTTCGAATTCCAATAAATCTCTTCACCACATATTGGATTAAAGCTGGTGGAAGCGAATTCTCCTTGGAGAATGGGAATATTATCCCACTCTTAACGAAATGTAATCTTCAGCTAGTCATTTGATTTCTTCTATTCCATATCCATTGTCTTCGGAAAGCAACAGGTTTTCGTTTTGAAAAGGGGTGAACAAAATTAGCCCATTAGACCATCTATAAAATTAATCTAGGATTTACGACTAATGATACAGTTCAGGGTAAACTCGTCCCGTTCACATCACGAGCTTGCTCAAATAATATTTTTTATTCAAACTCGTCACATTGAAGTGACGAGCTTCAATAAAATATAATTTTTATTAGCTTTTGTCACGTCGGAACGACAAATTATAATAAAAAATATATATTTTATTGAAACTCGTCATGCCCATATGACAAGTGCCAAGTCACTGTAACAAATGTCATAATTCCCAAAATAAAAAAATATGGTGCCGTATTGAGCCAAATAATTAGCCACCTATGGTATTGGGCCAAAATTGCCATGAACGTTAGATTAATCTATAATTGGGTTGGTATTAGGTATTGGGTTAGTTGATAGGTAAACGGGCCTGATCAGTTTTTTTATTATTGTCCCAAAATTTATTTGCCCAAATACGGCAGGTGGGCGGATTATTTGACCCAAGGGCACCTCAAAAATTATTTTAGGATCTATTGTATTTTTTACGGTGCAGGGAGAACTCGTCATAGGATATAATTTTTTTATTCAAGGCCCAGTATTTTAATATTTCTTTTGGGGTGACGAGTTCTATTGATTTTTTTTTCAAGATCATTAAGTGAATTTATTTTAAAAAAATACGCGGGGTGACAAGTTGATATATGTTCTAAGATAACTCTCAACCATTTGACTGCATCCCATAATCCAGAAAATTAAATGATTTATAATGATAGCTTTTTTTATTATTATATACTTCCTTTCTTTATTATTATCATAATTCATTGTTTTGTGACAATATAACTTTTAATAATTTTATAAAGTTCAAAATGTATATATTACATTAAAGTAAATATAAAAGTTGTTGTGACAATATAGTGCTTGAATTGATAACGGCAAAGACGGGTTGATGGATAAATAGTACTCCATGTATATATCATTATTATATATATGATTGAATAAAATCAATTATTTTTATTTTAACTTATTAAAATTAGGACCAAATTGATATAATATATAACTAATAGTGATCGTATGTGTAATTATAACAAATATTTTAACTGTCACTTGAACTTCTATGTTAATATTAACGATAAATGACTTAATTGAATGCATTTAAATAGTTGAGTCACGTGATTGATAAAGTTTCAAAAATGGTGGTCAAAATAAAAAGGGGGAATAGTTAGGTGGTCACTAGTATAATTTACCTTTAATTGTTTTAATTAATTTATAATTATACGTTGAGCCTTTTAAATTTTTATAAATTAAAATAATGGTCCTCATTGTGATCATCGAGTATGGAAGAATCATACAAAATCATATTATCGAGTAAAAAATAAGTAATTCTACTTGCTTAGAATATTTATTACAACCATCACAAGTAGCCAAAAGAGAATCATTATTAACAAAAACTTTATTTTCAATCAACACTAGAACTTATCAATGCTATAGATTGTCAAAATATCCGAACTTGACGGGTCCGACCTAATCGGGTTTTTTTTTTAAATTTTCGAGGCTCAAGGTGGGTTATGTACTAAAAGAATTCGAGGCCGGGTGAATCCAGATTTAAGGTGAAAAATCATTGACCCAACCCAATTATTATATATATATATATATTATAATTAATATTTTAATAATTTTTATTTTTATATTATTAAAATATATTATTTAATTATAAAATTATAAAAATATTATAAAATATTAATTTAACAATTTAAATATAATAAATAATTATAAATATTATTTTATTTATTTTAAATATTAATGTATTCGGGTTGGGTTGTAGTCTAGGTTTTACTCTAAAAATTAGAACAGGTTCGAAACAGGAAAAAAATCAAAATTCCTCAAGGCGGGACGAGGTTAGGCTTTACATATATGTTTTTGGGTCGGGGTTGGGACTACCAAAAACCCGACTTGACCCACCCTATGCTCATCCCTAGTCAATGCTACTTACCTGCTCCCACATTGTAACATAACAACTGCATGTTAAAGGTTTAATACAAAAATAAGTGTCTAAATATATATCAAAATACGATTTAGTAACTAAATAATTTTTTACTAAAATAGATGCCTAATGTTTTTAACGTTATATTTTTAGGTACCTAGATCGTAACGACGTTAAATTTAGCCGTTAAGTGACACGCCACCCTCATTTTTCTGAATTTTTTTTTATTTTTTAAAAATTAAGAATTTTATTAATTTAAATGAAAACCGAATTTTTTCCAGAAATTATAAAAAAGACCCTAACCTTAGAATATTTCAATCCACGTTACCAGCCGTAGCCGACCATCACCGGCCACCTTCACCACAATCTAACGTCACGCACCCATGTCCGGACCTCCTCTACCAACTATCTCTCTTGCCATTTTCAAAATCCTCCTATATTCATAAATCTCAAAGCTTGAATCTCTAAACCTTAAACCTCAAATCTCTAACTCTAATTTCAACAGCCCATTGTCGGTCGTGTAATTTGCAAATGACTTGGAGCCATTTAAACCGTTCGACGATTTGCAATAGGTGACATGCAAGATTTGAAGAAATTGCACAATGAGGTGGAGTGGTGGTGAGCAAGACAGGAGAAGGGAGAGAAATGGGGGAAGGGGACGGAGACTTTTTTTTTAATTTTTTTTTATAAAAACATATTTTATATTTAAAAAATAAAAATATAACAACAAACACTTAAAAATGTAACGGGTAAAACATTATACATATATTTTTAGCGAAAAAATCTTTAGGCACCAAATTATATTTTGATATATAGTTTAAACACTTATTTTTTTATTAAGCCTATGTTAAAAATAATTTTGATATAATTTATATAGTAGTGCCTTTCTTTTTCTATGTAATGTATGAATTTTATTGAAGGAAAATGGTCATAAAAGACCACCTTACGCCTCGTTAAAAATCTCCTCTAAATGGAAGGGAAAAAGAGCACATAATAGTGATTAAAGTTAAATAATATCTTAATTTTGGATACCACAATAAGCCTCAAGACCAGACTGATTATGTCGACCTTTGTTGCTAGCAACGAGCTTCAATAATTCAGCGTAATCAAAGGGTTTATAGAGTAAGGGGTGTGCTTCATCCACTAGCTCCTCCGGTGCCTTTATCATGTAACCTGGTTTCGAGACCGTAAACAGTCCGACGGAATACCTCTGCTTGTCGCCGGTCAGCATCACACGGTGATAAGTGGCCTTTAACCTCCCATTCAACCATGCCTGCATCATCATATACCATACCAACTTAATCTATCTTCCATCCTTTGCATATATGATTAATGGAATGAAGACTTACATGGAGAGATTCTCCAATGATGACGACGAAAGCGTCTTGGGACAGACTCAAATCGATCCGTGTAATATCCTAAATTTTGTCTAGTGACTAAAATATAAGTTTAAAGGTTTAGTGGCTAAAGTATAATCTTTGAAAAGTTTAAGGACCAAAATTTTTAATTTTAAAAAGGAGTTATATATTTTAGCCTGTAAGTGAACAGTTTGGATTAAAACACAGATTTTAGTGAGAATCATATTTTTGATACGAGAATTATGTTAAAAGATAGAAAGAATAAAGTTCGATATTGAAACCGAATATTCAGATTTGAATTGGAATTTTACGAAAATTTGAAGGATGTTATAAAATGGTTGGAAATATTATTTATATATTTTAGAAAAGTGAAATTTAACATGGATCAATGGAATTAAGGTTGATTTTTCATGTTAAGCCAAAATTTTAGAATTAGATGACTAAATTGCAATTAAGGGATTTGATGATGTAAGGGATGATGTCATAGAGTGGCATAGATGAAATTATTAAGTTTTATTAAGGGCAATATGGTAAAGTGTATTTAAATGAATTTAATATTCATTTATATTATATAATGACAAGTGTATTAAGGGATAGGGTCTAGTAAATTCAAGAAAATTTTGTTCTCCTTCCTTTTCCAGCCGTGAGCTTCCATAGCCAAAGGTAAGCTTGTTTTTCTTTTCATTTTTGGTCTATTTTAATTAAATTTTGGACTAAAGTGTGAAGCAGAAAAATAATCCCCATTAAATTCTCTTTCATTTGGTAGTAAAATCCCATTGTTTCCTTGCTTTAATAGTGAAGTGGGTGATTATGGTGGATGAAGGGGTGATGAGAAATCAATGAAATTAGATCTGGTTTTGATGTTGAGTGTATTATGGAAATCATGTTCTACCATAAAATGTGATTTGGAAACCATTAGAGGGACTAATAAAGAAATTCGACCATTAGGCATATTCAAGTTAATTTATGGAATTTCATACGAAGTAAAGGTAGTATGTGAAAGGCATATGGATTTTGTTAAGTTATTAATTGGGTTCTGATTGGAATTAGATTAAAAAAAATGAAATTATTGAAAATGGGGATTGTTGCCACGTTGGAATTTGTACTCTGGTAGTCATGAGATTTCAGTAAGTGAATAATTGCAAATGAGGTTTCTGACAATGGCAAGCAAAAATACAAAATAACCGGTATTATTGTTTTGATATAATTGCATTAAATGTTGGCATCGGCGAATTTTTATTAGTTGTCACGATAATTCTGACTCTGTCAATGATTTCAAAGTGTTAAATTCATAAGTTCCAAAGTGGTATTACTACCTTCGAGCACCTATTATTTCAGTTTCAGGTGCTATGGCAGTTTTACAGTGATACTATGGTTTAGTTTTTGTTTGTTCATTTTTATAACAGAAAGGGTAACTGTGTTTTAGAATGTTGAATTGAGTTGATTTGGAAGGTTGTATGGGATTTATAAGTTTTGGAAAGTTAGGGATGAAATGTAAAAGAATAAAGTTGAAGAATCATATTGGGAATAATTATTTATGGAATTGAATAAGTGTTTCAATAATGTTTGAAGTTATAATGGAGTTAGGAGTTTGGTTGATATTGATTTAGTTATCGATTTTATTTTATAGATTTTCAAATGTCAAGATGAGCTTATATTAGTACGATACTAATATGTAGTTCGAACAATTTTTGTGTTATAATTTGGTATTGTCAGACTAGTTAAATCTAGCAATCCAAACGATTCGGAAGGAAATGACAAAGCTCGTGATTAGGATTATTATATACAAGTTCTGTAGTGAGGCAAAGGTGAGTGCATTTTACTTACTCTATATGACATGAGGAAGACTTGCGATGAGTCAACCTCGAATGATATGAAAATAAATTGATTTCAATTTATTTTATTATATTTCATATTATTTCGTTTGATGATTTCTTATAAATACTTTACTATTTAAATGATATTTGAATGTGATGGGAAATTTAATTGTATGTCTATTGAGATTTATATTGTATTATACTTGATTTTTGTTAATGTTTAAAAAGATTTTGATGAGTGAATGATGTATGATACTTGATTTTGATGATATTTGAAAAAGATTCTGATAGGTGAATGATAAATGATTTAAAGAAAGTGCCCATTGTAAATGCATTGAGAATCATGGGTATAGAGGTGGAGCATTTAACACGTCTGACGTCTTTGTGACTATGGTGCTACGATTGATGATGATTTAGCACGTCTGACGTCTTCGTGACGGTGGTGCTATGATTGATGATGATTTAGCACGTCTGACGTCTTTGTGACGGTGGTGCTATGATTGATGATGATTTAGCACGTCTGACGTTACAGATGTAACGGTGGTGCTATTTATGTGTATGCTCGTCTGACTCGAATACCTTATAGTCTTAATGGTTTACATTGGGCTATGAAATGAAGAAATGAAAAAATGAAAAATATATGCTATGAGATGAAAATGGATTATACAAGCTACGAAATGAATTAAATAAATGATACATGCTATAAGAATGAAATAAGAAAGTTCTGAAAAGTGTTTGATTACAAAAGAATATGGATTGATTATTCTGTCTGATATGATTTATTATGATTTTGTGAAAATCATCAGATAATTCTTTTCAGGTTCCTGATAAAGTTCATCATGAGATATTCGGTTTGAACTTCTAAAAATTTAGTCTGCTTTATTTTTAATGATTATATATATTTTTGATATTTTCTTTATTTATTCTCACCTTTAGTATTACTGCCTCACTAAGTTATACTTAGCGCGTGATGATTTTCATGCGTAGGGTCTGATTGAGATACGAACGATTTATGAGGAGCCTTCCAAGCATCATGTGCAAATCATCTATAATACCAGTAATCAGTAAGACATCATTGAATTTTCTTTTGACTAGTAGTGACATGTATAATTATGTCAGTAGTTTTTATTTATCGTATTTATTTTAAATAATTTGTTATAGTAAACTAGAACTACTTTAGTTTATTTTACTTAGATTAGTTTTATCAGTATTTATGCATGAAAAGAATATATATATTATGTTATTATGTTTTTAGAAGATTTCACGAAAAGACGTGGTTTAAAAAAGTTACTGATTAACAAATGAATTTATTTTTCTATGTCAAAGAAATAATTTATAATTGAGATATACTTTAAAATAGATTTTTAAAATTAGATTAAGAGTGTTTTCAAATGAAACAAATTTTTAGGCAAATTCAGTTCAGTAAATGTCTTTAAATTGATGTGATATCTTTGACTCGTATATCGAAACGTATACGGGTCTAAGGTGTTACAATCCGTTCTCTGGTGCTGTTGCTTTGAAGTCCCAATCCCTTAACTTCATTTTGGCACAAAATGGTCACTAAGGTCATGTCCGGGTGAGGCCCTAGTCCAACCTGCGCTTCACTGGTTTTCGGCGCTCTATATTTCATTAGCTTAAAAATGCATTCACTCGACTCCAAGTGCTCATCCATGTAATTTTCCACTTGGAAAATCTCTAATATCATTCTTCTTATCATATGAATCAACTCCGTTAACCCATTTGCGAAGGATTGTATAGTTTTGCTGTCAATACATACGAACACATACGCAGTTTTAAGATTTATCAAGAGCAGAAGCAGAAATTACAGGAAAACTATTAAGTTTAGAACCTGAAACTTGGATTTCCTTGAGGCCAAAACGTACGAGTCTGGGCTTCACCGTTTTCAAGAATCTGTGCATCATCAAAGACAATGCCCTCGAAGAATGGTATTCTAAGGTCTTGGCCAATATAACCATAGTAAGGCTGTTTGGAAACATTGCGACTTTTGATTTCCAGGGGAAGATCAAAAAGCTCTTCCGCGGCTCCAAATGTTGTTTCCCGAATCTCTGAATGGACGTTGTTGAGCAAAGCCTCGAAGCAACCGAACTCTTGAAGGGCTTGTTCGACTTGGCCCTTCACTGAATCCCACTGATCGGTGCCCGGTTTTAGTTCCGGCTTCGTGAAATCGATGGCCGGAAGCTTCCAAGGCGATTTTGCGCCCATTTCCGTCCTGCAAAGCACAAAGGAGGTTTGTGAACAGTTGGATGCGTATATCCTTATCGGTACATGAACGAGTATAAGTGAACTCTTCTTTTTATAGAATGATGGAACGTTTAACGTCCAATGAATAATAATTACCTTATAGAATGAGCATAGATATTACCTTTTCCAGGACCTTCTTCACATGTTTTCCATTTTATAGAATGTGGGATTAGGGATGGTAAACGAGCCGGTTGGGTGCGGATATTCTTTCTCTATCCCCATATCCACCTAATATTTTTTAATTTATCACCCGCCCATCACTCATGATGGGTACAAATTTTTAAATTCACACCCGCCCACGCGGGTACATTTTTAAATCTATCTCCACACCCACTAACCACTAGCGACATACCCATCTAGACCCGTCTGACAGCAAACTAATGGAATGTTGGAGTTGGTTCCCAGACAGTTCGTGATGGGGTAGCAACGCATGCTTCAATTTGTCAGAGGAGTGGCTCTACGAATGTTATGGAGACAGATTGTAGGGAGCATGTAGTTGCAGAGCTGGATTGTTGAGTTACTTTCGATGTTAATGATTATAATGCGCCTAATATGGGTTTAGAGGGGCTAAAGAACATGGAAACTGTTGCTTTTGATGTTAATGCATATAGTACGGTTAATTTGTGTTTAGATGGGCATCATGGGCTAAAGAACATGGAAAGTGACGTGGTTAGTGGAATTATGAGTTTAATCAAAGAGCCGAATATTTCCCTAATTAAAGACCAGATTAAAGACTAAATATCCTTAATATTTGGTTAAATTATATGTTATATATTATACAATATTAAAATTTATAAATTAGTCTCTAAAATTACACCTAAATTCATAATGGTCTAAAATTTAATAGATATTTAGCTGGGCGGGCTGATGCGGGGCGGGTAATGTCTCAAACCCATTACCCGCCCACCACCCACGACGGGTACCACTTTATAAATCCATACCCGCCCACTACCCGCTAAAATTATACCCATCCCCGCTCCAATTGGAGCGGATGCGGTGTGGAATCCACGAAATTGTACCCGTTTGCCATCCCTATGTGGGATCACGTTTCACGTCCATTTACGTAAGATCTAAATAAATTAACCTTTTGATCCGAATGTGATAAGTATCAATTTATTATTATGGTAAATTTTTGAGTGACACGTCACCACCTAATTGATAGAAAAATTTATTCAATTAAAATATTAAAATTAAAAAATTCTTCTAGTGTATCATGTCACTTTAAAATATGTTCTAATAATCCACTGACACGTGATAAATTCGGATTGAAGGGTTATTTTTTTAAATAAAATTAAAATTAAAACTTAATTAATAGAATATGTAAGTACTAAGGACCAAATATATAATATATCAATTTTTTGTTAATTGACACATCATAATCTCTGTTTAAAGTTAACATACATTAACTTAATTGAAATATTAATTAAATAATTGAATAATCTGATTGATGATATCAACACATCAGTAGTCAAAATAAAAATAAAACAATAATTAAATTGTCATAGTTTATCTTTTACATAAAGTTTCTGCTAGTGAATATTTAAGTGAGATTAATTTGAGGTTATATGCCTGAGAGTGTAAATTGTCACCTGCTGATCTACACTCCTATGCATATAACCTCAAAATGAAAAGGGAACAATAATTAAATTGTCACTTATGTTGAACACTTGAACAATTAATTAAATATTATATTAATAAATCTTAAAAATGATGAAATTAGATGCTTTAATTATAAAAGTAAAAAGTAAAATTGAAAAAAATTAGGGAATTCAATTATAAAGATAAAAAGTGAGATTTAAAAAATTAGGGGTCTCAATTATAAAAGTAAAAAATAAGGTTGAAAAAATTAAGGGCGTCAATTATAAATATAAAAGGTAGGATTAAAAAAATTAGGGGCCATAATTGTTTTTTATTAATTTGGGGTAAGAACAAAGCTGTATATGTTCATAGATAACTCTATATATCATTTGACATTAAACGCTCACACTCCTGATATTCTTAGTGCTCGAACTCGGGACCTCAAGGAATAACAATAATTAATTTACCACTAGGGTTGTTGGGTTCGTGCATAAGTCTCAATTATAAATATAAAAAGTGGGATTGAAAAAAATAGAGATCTCTATTATAAAGGTAAAAAAAATAAGATTACAAAAGTTAGGGACCTCAATTATAAGATACTTAGAGTAAAAAATTTGAGTGAAGGTTAAAAAATTCAAATATTAAAAATACATAAATAAATTTTAACCAAACCAATCCATTATTTTTATGCATTATAGAAATTTGAAAAATACAAAACCAACATACTGTACTTTGTAATAACAAATAGTTTATTTAACAAGGGCTTCATCATTCCACAGCAAACAAGAGGGAAGCAATTGCACAGCCGAATCAAACACCACAATAAACTTTAAGAGCAGACTCAGCTTTTTGACCGGCCTCGGTGTAATAGAACCCCAAGAACTCAACGTGATCGTAGGGCTTAAACAGCAAAGGGTGTTCTTCATCCACCACCTCATCAGGAGCCTTTATTATGTACCCTCCTTTCGGAACCGAAAACAGTCCCACCGAGTACCTCGCCTTGTCTCCGGTCATCGTGACTCGATGATACGGAGCATACACTCGACCATTTAACCATGCCTGCAACATTCATGACACATGAATTTCATTCAATTTAATCTGCAAAAATAACCAAAAGAGACCTACGTAGAGGGATTCCCCGATCATGACAGTAAAAGTGTGCTTGGAGGGTTTAACATTGATCCATTCTCCTTCTTTGGTTTGAACCTCCAACCCATCAACCTCGTTTTGGTACAATATGGTCACTATGTTCTTGTCGGTATGACTGTGTAATCCCAGCTTTGTTTGATTTGTTTCTGGTCCTTTGTATTTCATTACCCTTAGAAGATAATTCGTTGATTCCATGTGTTCATCCATGTATTTTTCAAGTCCAAAACTCTCCAATACCATCCTCCTGATGATCTGATCCAATTCCGATAGTTGCTCCGAGAAGGAGTGTATAGTTTTGCTGAGAAAAAAACAGTATCAACAAGATGGACACAGAATTTTATATTAGGAGATTGAATTATTAAAATTTTAGGGAGACGACCTAAAAGAACCTGAAACTTGAATTTCCTTGAGGCCATAAAGTAGAGGTCAGGGCCTCGACTTTTTCAGAAACGTTTGCATCATCGATGCCCATGCTTTCGTACAAGGGGACTTGAGGGTATTGGCCAACATAACCATGATAAGGCTTGTTGGAAACATTTCGGATTTTGGTTTGTAAAGGCAGATCGAAAAGCTCTCCCAAGGATCCGAATATCGACATTCTGAGGTCGATCGGGATCTTGTCGAACGTAGCCTCGAAGCAACCGTAGTCTCGAAGGGCTACGTGGACTTGGCCTTTCACCAGATCCCACTCGTTCGTGCCTGGTTTTAGTTCTGGCTTACCGAAATCGATTACAGGGAGCTTAAGAGGAGTTTGAGAGCCCATTTCTCGTGTAAAAATGTGCACAAATTTTTGTTGTGTTGAAGAATTTTCATGCAAATGAGCCGATTATATACTGCTGGCTGCTGCACTGATGCTTGTTTGCTTAGGGGACAAGTTCCATCAACAAAATCAAATCAAAGACAAAAAGAATATATCAAAGAATTGTTGTTTCATGTTTAAGAATCGAGAGAGGAAAGATTCCTTGAACTATTTGTGTTTATCCTTTTGCTCATACAACCACTCCAGATTATACTATATTCTTTAGCCTGATAGAGCCAGTAGGGGACCCGAAAAGGAGCTGGATCATAATTGAAGCACAAATTAAAAGAAAAAAAGATTACATCTCACGTACTTTAAATTATGAAATTGGTCAATTATTTCTCTGGAACTTGATTTGCAGAATAATTATTAGGACCACAAGAATTGATGGAAAACGAAACAACACCATCTACATTTGGCTTTTGCAGTGGAGGGTTGTACTGCTAGGAATTCGTAAGCGGAAAAATAATTAAAATGAGACAAATGTAATAATAAAATATTCACATGGGATAAAATTTAATATGATTTAATCTTGTCTATATTTACGTTGCGAAGAATAATAATTTTTTTATATTAATTATAGGCCCTGTTATTTTTAATACTTATTATGCTTATAAAAAATAATTATACTTATAAAAAATAAAAATATTTACGGTTAGAATTTTTATAATAGATTATACTTATAAAAATAATTTTATATTAATTATAGGCCCGGTTATTTTTAATACTTATTATAAAAGTTATTTTTTTAATATTTATTATTATGAGTTAAATTTTTTTCTACTATTTATTATTAGGGTTTTAATTTTTTTTAATATTTGTATAAGTGCCTAATTTTTTATCAATATTTTTCTAACATTTGTTTCTAAAGGCCTTTTTTTAATACTTATTACGAGGGACATAATTTTTTCAATATTTGTTATAAAGAGAAAAGTTTTAAAATTTGATTTCTTTTCTATTATTTATTTATAGTTATGATTCCAATTTTTTCAATACTTTTTTATAAATGTCTAATTTTTTCAATGTTTTTTTATTATGAGCATACTCCTAAAATTTATTTTCTTTTCTTTTAATATTTGTTATTATGGACCCATTTTTCCAATATTTGTTATTATGGAACTACCCTTAAAATTTATTTTTTAAACACTTGTTATTAGGAACAATTACTTAAATAACGGTATATAACCACAACAATGATTGTTATGAAGTGACAGTGATATCGTCTGAAGTCAACGAGTGTTGACACAAGTGGTTGGGATTCAAGAATTTGAGCTTGTAAGGCCAAGTTCGAATCCAAACACCGTCACTTTTGGTGAGCAATCTGTACATTCCTATGTAAATCCCAATTGGATCTTAGACATGCCCTGACCCAAGATTAAGAGAGCCACCCCTAACCTAAACTTTTCTTAATAAAAAAATGATATCATATGAAACTGCTATATACATAATGGTTATGTCTACAATAACATATGTTATTAAAAATTCACAATCACGATACTTGTAGTGACTTCAATATCATTTGTTATGAGCACAATAGCGATAAGCGCAACGCGGTATAAAATACAAATAAAAACTATAATTTAAATATTTGATAGGCACCTAATTTTTTTGTTAGCCCAAAAATACCAAAATCTCATAAACCGGCGTGATTTACTATTAATATTAGGAGAGATACAAGTCTTGTATGTATGTATGTATATATGTTTCTATTTCCCTTTCGCATCTCTTGTTATGTAGTTTGACCGAGAAAACAACTTCAAATGTGACCATTAACTGATTAAGGGTTTAATATTCAAGGATTAGAGGTTGATTAACGACGATCTATCTACACTTGACTTGACTGTAAGAATACATGCACTTATAGTTAAGCTAAATGCTCAATAGGTGGAGACTACCATTATTTTTAAAATCCATACTTTATTGATTACAATATATAGAAGTTTACAAAGCCAATATTGCAGTATCCATGCAAACCTGAGGACTTATACAGAAGCAAACCCAAACCGAGAAATTTACCAAACATACAATAGAGATGTCACACAACAAAGTTCTATTATTACATATACTAAACAAAAAGAAAATAAAAGATCAAACACCACAATAGGCTTTGATAGGACATTTAGATGTATAACCCTCATCCGTTCGATAGAAGCGAAGGAGCCCTAAATGGTCGAAGGGTTTATATTTGAGTGGATGCTGGTCATCAACAAGCTCTTCGGGTACTTCAAGTGTCCCATTGTTGAAGGCAAAGAGTCCCAAAGAATACCTGTCTATGTTCCCGCTCATCACCACTTGGTGTCTTGGAGAAAGTATCCGATCGTTGCTCCATGCCATAAGTGCATCACCGGCGATAACCACAAAAGATGAAGGAGATGAGTAGTCGACATTAATCCGATTTCCGTCCCTCGTTTCGACCTCTAAAGCATTGATCTGGTTTTGATGGAGTATGGTGGTGAAACTCTTGTCGGTATGAGTAATAAACCCTAGGTTAGTCTCATCCGGCCGTGGTGCTCGGTTCTTCAACAGCCGTAGAAGGCAAGTAATCGTATCAATATAAGCATCATGGTATTTCTCCACACCATAGCTCTCAAATATCATTCGAGTCACCATTCGGTCTAACTCAGCTGCCACCTTGGCATACTTGCAAATATATTCACTACGCACAAATAAAGAGAAAATGAGTAACAAATTAAAAAAATAATAATAGTAGGTGGTGAATATAAAGTAGTACATATTTGAAATCTTTTTTAATCGTTGATAATATATTCTACAGACGCAGAACCCGGAAAAGTTTGAAAGAGCACAGAGTCTTGAGGAATATATACCAGAAAATATCATTTCCTTGGGGCCACATTAGCTTGGTGAAGAACTGAGTTCCCTCGAGAGAAGTAGCGTTGTCGATGCCCAAGCTTTCGTGAAGAGGAATCTTGGGTATTTGCCCGACGTAGCCATTCAAGGGCTTTTCGTATCTGTTTTTCATTTTCGTCTCCGTTGGGAGATGGAACAGTTCTTCCATGAGGGAGAACACTTTGTTGTGAAGTTGTAATGGAAATTTATCGTATTCTATTACAAAACATCCGTACTGTTCGAGTGCTTGTGTAACCTTTCTGCTTGTTACCGACCAAGAATCTGTTCCAGGCTTCAATTCTGGATCGGAGAAATTCAGAATAGGAAGATTCGGGGATGATTCAGAACCCATAATTAATGCCTTCGTCTGCTTCAAGCACGGATTAGATTAAGATTTGTCCAAGTTTCCCGTTTCTTTTATAACAGCGTGTGCGTTAATAAAAAACAAATGATAAAGTGTATAATAAGATATTGAGCTATATTCAAATTATCTATTTGATACGAGGATTTTTAAATATTATAAAGTAATTATTAATTTTTTAAATGATTATAAAATGATCCTTGGATTTATTAAATTATTATAAAATAATTAATATATTTTTATCTAATAATTATAAAATCATTAATAAATTTAATTTATTACTATTTAGTGTCATATAAAATATTTTATAATTAATATTTTTAACAATTATTTTATAAAATACTTATTTTTCACTGCGCAGAGGTTCACTCTGGAGGAGTTAACATTTCTAATGTTTTTATATTTTGATTTGTATTCAAACCCAATGTTTGACATATGTGTTAATTTAGTTTTTATTTGGATGTTTAACGATTTTTAATTGATTATTAATTTAATTTATCTTTTTTGATTTCAATAAATTAATATGACATCTCTGATTTAATTTTCGATTAAACTAAATTGGGAGTGTTTTAGGACTGTGGGGGAAGTGACTTGGTATGTGCCATGGGATGTGATCGTAGAGTTGTTTATCGTTTTTTATTAATACAGGGTAAATATAAGATAATACCTATTCTAAGATAAACTATCAATTATTTGATATTAAATACTCACATGTCTATATTTCTGGTGCTCAAACTCGAAACCTCAAGAAATAACAACAATTCATTTACCACTAAAATCGTTTGGTTCGTACTATTATTTTGCGTGTATGTGTGACTAATCTGGGGTAAGTACAAGGCAATAACTGTTCAAATATAACTCTCAATTATTTAACAGTAAATGCTCAGACCTCTAACATTCTTGATGTTATATAACTTTAGAGCGAAATTTTTATGGTAATAGAGATTACATCAAATCTAATTCGAGATGTTATTATTATTTTTGAAAAAAAAAGAAATTTGTTTATTTTGTATATTTGTGCACTCCCATCCAAGGATGGGATAAATAGTGTAATTTCGAATTACTTTTTATAAATTCATATTATAGTGTAAATTTGAACAATTGTATAATTCTAAATTATTTTTCATGAATTCTAAAATTTGATATTTATAATAAATATTTATTTATTTTTATATACTCATATTCAAATTATTATTTGTGTTATATTTTGAATTTTATTTACTATGAACGTTTAATGATTGAGATATTAAAAAAATATAGTTAATTTAAAATTAAAATTAAATATAAATAATAAATAAATTTATATCTATATTTATATTTATCGTCCTCTTCCATTCTCATCCTAGGTAGGGATTTAAAAATTTTAGGGTAAACTACTCAGTTGACAAGTTAAATATTTAGCCTTTTTACTTTTGCCATCGATCTTTTAATTTTGTCAATCACACCGCATAACTATTTAATTGTTTCAATAAAACTACCAGTCATTAACATTGACGAAAATGATGATGTGGCAGTTAAAAGCCATTACTCAGTTGACCACTTAACTATTTAATTGTTTCAATCAAGCCGCTTAACTATAATTATGCCAATTCATTTTAACTGTCATGTCATCATTTCAGCCAACTATTAATGACTAGTGGCTTGATTGAAAAATTATATAATTATGTGGTGTGATTGATAAAATTGAAAGATCGATAGAAAAAGAAAAATGGTTAAATAATTAAGTGGTCAACTGAGTAGTTTACCCAAAATTTTATCACAAAAGACATGACTCTATCACCGGTTGGTAAAAGTGGTCCAATATATATTTGCTTGTTTTAGAGTTTATCGGGGTAAATGAGTCGAGTTGAGCTCGAATATTATTGAGTTTGAATCAATTAAAAAATTCGTGAGTTTAAAATTAGCAAGATCGAATTAAATTTAAAAAATTGAAGTTTGGCTCGACTCAAAAGCTCACAAGCTTAAATTTTTGAAGTTCGACTTGAAATAAAAAATTGAAGCTCGGATCAAGCTAAAAAAACATGAACTCAAAACATTCTCAGACTTAGCTCTAACGAAACTCAAACTCGAGCTTGAATCTGAACTATAAATAATGAAAGTCTTATATTGATTTAAAAAATAACATATGAATGTTAATATTATTATTAATTTAATTTAAAAATTAAAAATTTAATATATTATTTTTTCAAGTTACTCGTGAGCTTTTCAAGTCAAGTAACTCGTTTCGATTCGTTAAGAACTCGATTCGAGTCCAATCGATTCAAGTATTGATCGAGTTTTAATCGAGCCAATTTAAGTAACTCGTGATATGTCTCGTCTCATTTATAGTTTTATTTATATATAAAATTTATAATTATCTCCATCAATAATACTATTTTAAATATTAAATATTAAATTTTCTTAATAATATAATATACTTTATTATCACATCCAATATTCATAATTTAATAGTTATCTCTATTCTAAGCGAAGTATATAGATTATGCATGAATTAATGAACGTGTATCTTGGATTTATTAATAAATAAAAAAATAGGTATCATTTTGAATATCATATTATTTTTTCTAAAAAATTTGAGGTAGTATCTACTTAAAATCTTCTTTAACTAATTAATAACACACATAAATTCTAATTCTTAAACATAAGACATTTGAAAATAATAATATTATCTTTTATCACGAAATCATTTTTTAATTTTCATATTAAATCATTAATTAGGTGTCCATTTCTAATATTATTATCATTTTAGGACAGCTACTTAATTAGGTCCCCCATAAGAAAGACAAGAAGAGCTGAAATGTTCCATTTTGTTTGTCATTATTATTACTAAAATAATCAGGAAACTACGGTAAAATTATTTTGTAGCGGCGTTTAGAAAGTAAACACCACAAAATTTAAAAATATAGCGGTGTTTACAATTCAAACGTCACAAAATGACACTTTAGAGGCGTTTTTTAAACAAACGCTGCTATAGAGTAGTACTTTAGTGGCGTTTTTTATAAACGCCGTAATAAAGTAGTACTTTAGTGGCATTTGTGCTACCAAACGCCGCGATCTTTAGCGGCGCTATTTTCAGCGGCGCTTTTTGCGGCGTTTGTCATATCATTGCAGGTGTTTTTTACGGCGCTTAAAAATGCTGCTATATGTAAAAAAAAACGCCGCAAAAAACTAGTTTTACAGCCGTGAAATACCTAAATATGATCAGATAAAATATGATAATTGCTTGGACATTTTAATTACAGAATAAAGTTTGTTGAAAAAAACTTTTAAAATTTCCTCCATTGATGAACATTCATCAATCTTGACTTTTACTTCTCTTTGAGAACGTATAAGACTCGTACAACATGCAATATATGTAAGACTCATGCAACATGCAATATACAATACGAAGAACCCATTTTTAAATTTCTATATCCGTCAATATATATAAGACTCATGCAACATGTAAATATATACAATACGATAAACCCATTTTTAAATTTCTATATCCATCAATATACAACATGTAAATATATATAAGACTCGATGCAACATGCAATATACAACATATAGGATTATATGTGGAGGTGAAAAAAGCCCGGTAGACATGTTTCAGAAGAAAACATAATCTTCTCCTTGTGTTAAACTTGTTTGTATTCTGTCATAATTGTTGCACAGAAATGTTGGGAATCTTTTCTCTGATTGTTCATACGTTGTTTCGGTTTCTATTTCGTTTTCAAGTATACTGAATTAGGAATATGATCACAATATTAGAATATAGTGTACGATTAATTATTTTAAGGGAATATAGTTAATGTCTTTATTAAAAACATCTAACCACCCTTATATATATAATTTTGCGGGTGGTGGGGGGGGGGGATAAGAAGAGAAATTAGTTGTATTGTGGATGGTGAGATTGAAGCGAATATGATTTTATATTCATCCTCGTCCATTCAATATACACAATAATATATTTAAAAAATAAACACTAAAAGGGGTTTCTGATAGGGTCATGCTTCAGCCTTCGCCCCCGTCGTTGGCGGTGGCCAACCTGAATATTCCGCCACCGTTAGAAAGGCCGGGCTCTCCAATTCCCGTGAAGGTGCAACCGGCATCGGAGAAAGGGAAGGAAGGTTCGTCGGAGAACAGGGATCCTTCTACGTTGGATATAATTGTCATGAAGTTGGGTATTATTCATGATAGGCTTAAGGTAAACTCTAAATACACTAAATAAGAGTATCGTCTTGTGCGACTAATGAGTGAAGCTCAAAAAACTTGAAATCAAAACATTCTCAGACTTTATTCGGTTGAAGCTCTAAAGCTCGAACATGAATATTAAGTACACGAAAACTTACGAGGCAATTTTAATATATTATAAGAGAAGTGTATTTTATATCAATTATCATTGGTAAATTTGGATTATTTAATTTTTATGATCTAATCGAATTTGAATTTAAATTGATCGAGTCAAGTTTTCGAGTTTTGACGAGACTTAACAAGTTGTATATACAAAGTCTTCAAATTATTTCTCGAATTCTAAATTCAAAACTTTCTAATTTATACATACATACAGGATCTATTTCTATCCTAATATCATAGCATTACAAAGATGATCTTTTAAACAAATGAAAAAAGAAAGTCTAGCGTTTCTGGAAATTAAACAACTTTATGGAGACGGTGAAGATGGCTCCAAATAGTACTGTGAAAGCAACAATTACACCTGCTACAACTCCAATGAATTCATGCCTGAAGTCGAAATAGTTTCTCAAGTATTGTTCTACTGTCTGACCATCCTCGAGGACATCCCGAATATCTCCGAACTGTGAAACAACCAGACCATACAGTGTCCAAGATACTGGACAAATGTAATAGTACCATCTCCACCATATAGGAATGCTCTGTAATTTAAAGATTTGGAAACTAGTTAGTCATCTGGAAAATGAGTGAATATCTTGAGAACACGACACTTACCGGTCGTGGGATGATGAAGCCGGAGAACACGTTCCATAACCCATAGAATGCTGAGGAAACTATGGCTGCAATGTGGTGGTTTGGTGTGACAGCCACAGCCATCATGCCATAGAAGGTGAAGTACATGAAGAAGAAATACCAAAAGAATTTGGCTGCAGTCCATTCGAAACCGATCATCGCGTACACTATGAGGCCATACACGGCTGCTTGAACAAAAATATAAGGTATCTCGATTAAGACCTGCAGTTTTCGAGTTCGAAAGTCAGTTCTAATGTACCGCATTTTGCACAACTTTCTTTCCAGAGTGAACGCTTCAACATAAACAAAAAGGAAGAATACATGCCTGGGCACTGGCATATGGCATGGCAGAATACATCCCAGCACGCTCTTTCTCTATAAAAGACTGTCCTTTCGACCGCCACCACGGGCTGCACTGATGCAGCGTTTTGGATACCTAGGAAAAGAACAGCTGCATACATAGAGCCCATTGCATTGGCCAGATCTTGCCTCTTTTTCCTGTAATTTTACCATGTGACAATGAGATGTACAAATATCACACAAGACCAAACATGAAGCTGAGAATTTGAACTTGTTGTAGCTTACGTTTTAGTCCCGAGGTCCCAGAACAGTGTCCCGAACATCAAAGCTATGAATGTTGTAAAAAGTAATCTCACAGCTGTATAAGCTATGACATGAGGAGAGTGAATGTCATTTTGCTCACAATATCCAGATACTCGAGCAAATGTTTCTTGCTTCTTCGGGAAACCAGAAACGGTGATGTTCCCCTCGATATAACCGCCAGTTTTTCTTCCAGCAAGCACATCCATCAGAGTAGTTTTGCCAGCACCACTAACGCCCATGAGAGCTGTGAGAACGCCTGGTCTGAAAGAACCACTAACACCCTTCAATAGCACCAATTTATCCTCATTGGCACCTTGTTTTTTAATTTCCTGCAATTTCAATCAATTCATCAAAATCTCTTATTTCGACATTAACAGAACAAGTATATGATAGTTGTACATGGAATCTCATATTACCTGTGGCATATCAACTGAATAGATAATATCAACAAATGTGATGGAATGTGGTTCAAATGGAAGAACCATTCCCTTTTTCTTGTTAACAGTGGTAGCCTCAGCCATAGACGATGACTTGGATGAGAAGCTTCTTCGAGTATCATCTTGAACCCCTGCATTTCAGTTATATTTAGAATGTACACAAACACAAGGATGCAAAAACTAAGTGAGCTCAATACCTGATCTAGTTACATTGCTTGAGTTACTTCCATTGTTTGATAACTGAAGCTTTCCACCAACTCCATTGGCTTGCTCGTTCCCTTCCGGTTTTTCTGATATTACAGCCTGATTTTTCTCAAATGCTGCACATTCATTCGCAGAACGGTAAAAGATTAGCTCTTCCTTCGAAAGAAGCATAAGTTTAAGACTTTAAGTCGGTGTCGATAAAGCTATGCTCACGCTTTAGATAGGCAAGAGCCAGAGTATAAAAGAAGTTGAACAATACAATGAATCCAAGCAATCCCCCTACTCCGAACCAATACCAATCCGGGTCATGGAAGAAACCTCTAGACATCAAAACTGTAATTCCCAGTGATTCATTCGAGCCCGGAAGAACCTTCAGTATGAAACAAAATCTAAAATATAACCTGGTTGTTCAGAGATAAGATTGAAAACTCAATACGCATTGCAAATTCAAAGCATTACTCTTCTCCACTGGTTTCCAAGGAATTCATTAACCATCAGTGCATTTTGTCCATACATCATAGGCGAAATCCAGTAGCCCCATATCCACCATTTCTTTATGTCCTCTGCAACAGTTAACAAAGAAGATCAATTGCAAATTTTAAATTTGATCAAAAGATTGAATTTTTTTGGATATGTTGAAGACTTCTAATTCATACCTCGTGACAGGACAAAGCCACCCAATGCAAAAAGTATGAGCAAGGCAAATGCCCCGAAAGTGTTAGCAACGACCATGTTTCTACCAGCTGCAGCAATAAATCGGAACAATCCCGAAGCCATCTGGTTAACTAAAACAAGGATGAGGTACTGCTTAAACAACCTGTGCCAGAAAAGTCACTTTCAACTTAATTCGGATCAGAGCTAATAAACAAGCAACGACACTATATATGGTACAAGTCAAGTTCCCCTTGGAATTTTTATTGTCAGTTCGTTTCCTTACCTTTCAACATTCGGATCAAATCCGATGACATTATAGGTAAGAAATACCCATATGGAAACTTCTGCAAATGAGATAGGGATCTTTAGTATCCATGTCGGTAGAGCATATGCCCATGAAGGGTAGAACAGGAGGTCTCTTTGCTTGTAAAAGACGGGAAGCTTAGCAATGGTCATAGAAATCTCAGCCATCCCATTAAACATGATAGTAATCAAGCCAAAAAACAAGGCCCCCATATAGATTCCTCCCCCTACAACCGAATCGTGTTTCATCTCGGTCCTCAGAAAGAGTGTCATGGTAATGAATGCCATCATTGTGAGCTAGTAGCACAAAGAAAATAACGTTAAGAGTCACAGGTTAAACCTTAATAATTGTGGTACAAGAATTGCGTTTCACTAGTACATGTATAAACTTGAAAATGTAAACATAGGAGTTTCTCTTCATCAGCAGATATTCCCTGGATATGCAAGCTTTGAGCAACTCTTTCTTTCCAGCACCATACTTTCTGGTTGTCAAAGCAGCAGGGTGGCTCTTTGTTTTTTCAGATGGAACACCAAGTTCATCTCCAAGTTTCATTCCCACGTGAAACGATTGGAAAGCCTCGGAGAATTCCTTGGCCGTGATGAACCTGTAAGGTTGATCTTCACGTACCCAATACTGCTTTTGATCTTTCCTCGACGTAACCTGCAATGAACATAATCGAGTTAAATGTGATAGAAGAGAAACTTTAGTCCCAAAGGAAAATGGATCAAAGCTTACTTCTTGCAAGAAGTCAGCCGCGCCTTTTCTCTCCGGACACTTGAAGCCCATGTATTCAAAGAAGCCCAGCACGTGTTCACGAGGACCCTGATATACTATCTGGCCATCAGAAAGGAGAATAATGTCATCAAAAAGATCAGAAGTCTCTGGAGCTGGTTGGAGGAGAGTCTCTGCAGTCCCATTGCAAATTAAATTCACTTTTATAATATTTCATTTGTAAAAGTTAATATATTCATATCTTACTTATATAAGTTTTTATATCTTTTCTTTTTTGTATTAAAATTTTTTGAATGGAACTCATTAATAAATTATCGAATTAAAGACATTTAAAAAGTTATCTGATACTTAGATTTAAAATAATTACACGAGAATTACACGTATAATAATTATATTTTATACAATTACATGACAATATATTTGTTGTTCAAAATGTTAAGCTGTTATTTGAGTATATTTTAAAATGTTTGACTTTTACTCGACTGCTTTGATAGATTAAACCTTTAATTAAACATATTTAAAAATGTTAAAGCATGACCAACAACCGGTTAGTCTAGTAGGACGAGACATTAGGTCCTTTAAGCAAGGTCAAAGGATCGAATCCTGACGTTTGTGAATGGAGCAAACTAGGTTGGAAGGGTCGCCCTCGCCTCTGCAGTACCCGATCTGGATTAGTCGGTCAATAGATCAGATACCAATGATTATTTCAAAAAAAATATTAAAGCATAATATAACTGATTTAAAAAAAAACTCTTAAACGATGTATTCAAAAAATTACTTTTAAAAACTAGCGTGTCGTCCAGACGTATTTTGTGCATTGTATCATTCACACTATACGAGAAATTAATTTACTCAACACCCTATATAACATAAGATGAATCTATAATGAGTGACATTCATTGAAATGCACCACTAACGACATGCATTGAAATGCAATGTTAATTTAAAAAAAGGGTAAAATTCATAAATAGTCACAATAATTTTAAATTTTATTTATTTATCATTGAATTTTTAACAGTTACAAAATAGACATGAAACTTTGAACTTTGTTTAAAAAAATAAATAACAATCCTTAAATGTTATTAAGGGGTGACATAGCATACTAAATTAATGAAAAATATCTTATTTAGCCTCTCAATTATAACTAAAATTTCATTTTTAATATTTTTCAACATTAAGTAATAATTCTAAAAAATTAGATTTTTTAGATTTTTTTTAAATATACGAAAATAAATTATTTTTAAAATTAAAAAATATTTTCAACAGATTCAGTTATCAAACAATGAAATTAATTTTTTATTAAACGGAAATTATTTAATAACTAATTATTTATTTAATTGTTTTTTTAGTATTTGTGAAATAAAAAATTTATAATTTTTGACGTTTGAAAAATTATATTATCAAATAATAAAATTATTTTTTACTAATGACATCATTTAAGCATTTGACTTTTGTTTAAAAACTTTTAAACGTAATTTAAAAATCATACATTCATAATATCATATTAAATAATTTTAAATTTATATGGTACAGATTTAATATTTATAATTGCAATATGATATTTATTTTATCTATATCTAATTTAGTTTTGAATTCAACGAACCTCATAAAAATTATTTCAATTAAAATTAAGAGCAAAATTAAATTTTATTGATAATTTATAATTGGATACATTACAACTGATATCTTCAGGGCATCGTGTTGCCTCTTAAATGATGCATATGTCCTTTACAATGCATGTGTCCAAGACAAACCTTCTCTTGGAGTACAAGGCCACATGACACATGCACCACTAGGGCTTAAACGAGACGAGACAGATTATAAACTACTCGAGATCGACTCGATCAAAACTCATAAATACTCGAATCGAATTCAAACTCGAGCTCGACTCGAGTTCTTAATGAGTTAAAACGAGCTACTCGAAAAACTAGCGACCAACTCGAAAGTATAATATATTAATATTTTATTTTTTTAAAAAATAAATTATGAATAATATTAACATTTATGTGTTGATTTTTTTTCTTTCAAAAATGCAGTATAAGATTTTCATGTATTTAAGGTTCATTTTCGAGTTTGAGCTTCAATCGAGTTAAGTTTAAGATTTTTTTCATTTCGAGTTTTTTCGAGCTTCTACGAGCTTTTATGAGATTCAATCCACGGTTTCGAGTTCGAGTCGAGCTTAAAAATTTTAAGCTCGTGAGTTTTTGAGCCGGATCGAACTTCATTTTAAAGTTTTCGAGTCGAGTGTCGAGCTCAAGTTACAGCCCTATGCACCATGCTTATTGCTTTCTTTCAACAAAGACCAAAACCCTGTTACACATCTTTGAATAAGATTGAGGCCTACTCTTCTTGCCACTTTAAACAACATTATTTGTGGATAATTTAACACTTTATAGATGCGAAGAGAAGAATTCCATTTCATTCCTGATTCTCTTTCTCTTGGCTGTCGATTAATCTCATTTTTACGGTCATTATCCACGTTCAACAGGGATAGCCGGAAGGGTGGGTGGAGGCCGTTGCCCCCCCCACTGAAAATTTAAAATTTCACATACTTTAGATAATATGTTTTCGGTCTCTTGAAATTTTATAAATTCATCATTTTTAAAATTTTAAAAGTTCATATCCCTAGCATAAAATCATGTGTTCGTCTCTAATTATCCATGAGATATATTGGTAACATGATAGGTTGCATATTCAGTAACATTTTAAGATCTGGGTACAGTTTGCAGAAATACTGTGCTTTCATCAGTAACATGAAAAAGAATCGGAAGTATTATGTAAAAGATGTGATTCTTTTGGTAATACAGCTTCATGATTGCACCAGCCACCGGTGATCTTCATCATAAGAAAATCATGCTGCGAAAATGCAGATATTAAACAAAGATAAAGCCAACACGGAGTTCGGAGAATTGTTCTTGTTAATGATCAAAACATGCATGATGGAACCAAGCTTTTAGCCGTAATTTTAGATGCCAACATGTTGTACTTGGAAAACAAACATGAAATTATTACCTACATTCACACATGCTTAGCAAGCACATCTTCTGTCAGTAATGTTGACAAGGAATTGAACTATTCTTCATCATCGTCCCCTAGCTTATTCGAGGTACTCCGATTAACATCAGAGGCGAGCTCAGCTTCTAATGGCTTCGAAGACAACCTCTCGTAAGCTCTTGATCCCGCAGGAAGAAGCCTACGTTGCCTGAAGGTGAGAATCTGGCTAAGCTGATCATATTTCCACCTTTGCTGACAGTAGACAACAGCTGCAAGCAAAACTGCGGTGACGGGAATGGCAACATCCCCGAAATTCGAGAAGAAGTCCATTGTAGGATTCACAAACTCGTACTCCTCTGCAAAGTATGGATTCGGAACTGGAGCTCTCATGTAGTCATAGAAATGAGGGAGGAGTCTGACCACCGTAATCCCGATAAAATATAGTTTCCGGAGAGGTTTACAATCGATTTGACACATTAAGTTACCAATGACTTGAGGGAGCAAGAAGAAATCTTGAACAAGGCCGATATACTCCTCTAGTTCGATTTCCCATTGCCGTAGCGTTTGGGAGTTACCCCTTGAATCTATGAACTTATCCGTTTGAAATGGTATCTGTTTGGTGTTAACAGTATGAATGATCAGCACAATTATGTACCCAATGACATGTATGATAACGGTTGCGATAAGTACCCGCTTCTCACTCGGGACACGATGTGATTCAAGCGGGGATCCTGAAAGTAATCTGATACGAGATTTCCACACCTTCTGACAGAGCCTCAGTGTCAAAAGGAACATCACCAGCACAAGAAGCTTCACCGTGTAATCAATCAAACTCAGCCACCGACTCTTCTCGAGATCATAAGATTGCATTGCATAAGAATCGGAAGCCTCTCTCTTGAAGAGAGCTTCGGCACCAGTAATAAGAGGAAGACTGTACCCAAAGGCTTGGACACCAAGCATGACAAGGGAAATAAAAGGAGAGGAATCAACATCCTGCTTGAGGTAAAACAGCTGACTGGAAATGCAAGCAATAGCAAATGAAAGAGTCAAAACACAGAGGATTCCCTCAACTCCCCGGCGAGAGAGAATATCTTCCCTTTGCTTCCTGTACATAATCGGAAGAGTTTGAAGCTTAATCATCCCAAAATATAATGGATCATCTTCAGTTCTCTGACTGGATATGGAAATTCTTGCAGTTGGATTGACCAACCACCGAGCTGTCGTTGGTGGGTAAGACACTATGACTTCGATTAAGCAATCCAACCCTGATTCTAGATCCACGGTTTGAGATAAGATCGTCCATGAAGCTCGAACATCCCTGCAGCCAACAAGATACATCCGTCCAAAATGTGGATCATAAAGACCCTCCAGAAAAAGAACAGAAAAATTGCTATAATCTTTCCCCATGATTGTTAGTTGCGCTGATACATTCAAAAGGAGCTGTTTCTCGGTGTATTCAGCTTTAGCGTGGTAAGGTGCCTCTTCCTCTGCGGTGGTCACATTTCTTGAATACCAATTGCGCCCGAACAAAGGACCAAGGGAGAAAATATCCAACTGAATATCAACTCTTGGACGATGAGAATTTGAAAACGGATCAGGGACAGAAGAGATTTCAAGGGTCAGATCTTCTGCGAGAAAAGAAAGGCTGGATAAAAAGTCCTCGGTATCGTCAAGTTTCGGAAATTGCAGCAACGATTTCTTGACGAGAGTTCCAAAACTGAAAGGCTCATTTTTCTCTAGGATCGCACCAGCTGATCGGATTTTTGAGTAACCATAATAAGGATGTGATATTCTGAAATAATTCCACAACTCTGTCGGCCTCGCTAACCTTTCAAAAGATAAAGGGAAGTACTTATTACTTCTATCAATACTCGAAATACTCCCAAAGATTATGCTTCGCTGCTTTAAGGAGAACAACAGAGGAACATACAAACATATACGCGAGTTACAGCTACTCCCGTCTGCATCTACTATGCCAAGACAACCAACCATGCAAAGCTGCCCACTAGAAGAATTCCAGATTCCTTCAGCAGCTAGAGTCAGGTTGCTAAGTCCAGACCTCCTCCATTGCACTCTATACTGATCCTCCGATGCAGGAGCAGCCCAAAAAACTGCAGCAACTCTGGCGACACTATCATTTCGATGCCCATTAGTTGGCTTGCAACTGACATCTTGCATGTAAAGTACGACATCCTTGAAGCTGCCATTTGTAGCCTTAATCTCTTTATCGGACACAAAAGGACCCAGCTTACTACAGTAGTCGTCAGTGCCATTGCATTTCCAGTTTGGCACAACAGTGAAAGCTCCACTATTAGTAACTTGCTCTAGAATTGCACAGAAGCTATCTCCTTTGTAGACGTTGATGCCGGAATTCATCACATTATCCCGATACGGATAAGGATCACATGCCTTGGATACAATCTCGTTAGAGCCAAATTCATATTTCGTCGACTTGAGCATCTGGGCCAAAATATGGACTTGATCAAAGTACTTAGCATTTGATTTCGGATTTAAACTTTTCAACTCCCCTCGTATTACCCTATTTGTCAAAGTATGTGTCAATGGGTAATGAAGCACAAGCAATATCTGATCATCTTGCAAAAGAGGCACCTGTTTTTCGTTTTGACAGAGTCCTTCAGCCATTCCCATGGTGTGTTCATGTCAGACTCCCGAGACGGCAACATCGCGCTCCCCAACAAACACAACACTCTTTCCCCACCACCCTGTTTGGTTTCAGTGTAAATCCCTTCGAACGAAATAGCAAGCTGAGTATGAGCAGGCCATATCTGAAACCGAGGACTACCCTGGTACGGCCTCTCCGCAAACGAAGTATCCAGTGTTATCCCCAGCATCAAAATCCCACTGACACTCACAGACTTCTTAGTCCGATGTTCGTTATCAACATTTGTGATCCAGAAAGAAGATATGTTCGAGGGAGCCTGCGACAACTTCTCAGGTATACCTCTATCATCAAATGGCATAATGGGAGCATCACCGAAATCCTGCCGCCAATCCCCATACCCGAAATTGAGCTCCTCTTTTATATCAGCTATCCTATTATCTCCAGCTTTGAATTCAGAAGCAGATGATAAAACCGATTTACAATGTTTCTTTACCTCATCGATTCTTTCATAATTGTGTTCCATTTCAACAGAAGATTCCTTTTTATACTCAAATTCCACTTCTGGAACATAATTTGTTAACCCTAAGATAAACATCTCACACATTAAACAAACAACAGCAGCCAGGCATACACTCCTCATTGTTCCAAATTTTCAATATTTCTCAGCTAAAAACCACTAAAAATTGAGACCCAATTTCAGAAAGAAGAAAAGAAAAACTACCAAAACTGCAGCTTTGCTACTTTCCCATGAAAAACTGAAACTTTAGTGATTACATGAGGAGCATTTGATCTAAAGGAAGAGCATCAGATCAAAGCTTGTGGATTGATGGGTGGTTTTGCAAATCTAACAAAGAAAGGTTGGTAGAAGAAAAACAAACCTGAAATTATGGTAGAGCCTGTTAAAGCTGTTGCAAAGATTTCTGGGAACTTCAGTTGGATCTAAGAGTATGCTTAAAATGAAAGTCTTGGAAAGTAGTTGTGGAGCGTAACAGGTCAACCTCTATTTCTGTTTGTCTTTTTTCCTTTTAATTATTTAATTAATTTCACCCTAATTTATTGTCTGTTTTTTCCTTTTAATCAATTTAACCCTAATGTAATTAGGCTGTAAATGAACTGAACGTTCATAGAACCGTTCATGAATCGTGCGGCGGGAAGTTTGTTT